GTTGCAATTAGGCGTACCAGATCACGACGGTCTCACTAATGAAGATGATACAGGTATTCAGTGTTTGACAACGCTTCTACCAGTAACACCTAATTTATTTCGTTCCCACCCAGAGAAATCAAAAGACAGAGTCGAGGAGATCGAAAAAGTGTATTTGGCGATTACCAATATATCAGAATTCTCTGATCTAATCTGGCTAGCGATTGCGGTAGATGTTGAGCACGGCGTTACCACACGTGATCTGGTGCGGATGCCTGACCGAGCGCCTTCAGCTAGATGAGTCCACTAAAACATATGGTCAGCATCCAATGTCGAAAACTTACAGGGCTATTTATTTTGGGGATTTATTTACCGCTACGCAGTTAACGACAAACATGTAAAATTAATATACATTTTGTGACAAATATTTATTTTCATTCTCGTTATAGTTGCAGCAATATAATTAAGTTGCTTGTATTGTAGAGGCAAATAAATTCCGAAGCCCGACATGATCTGGTGCGCTAAACAATAAACTGTAGATCTGTAACAGCTTAGGTTCGTTGGTTAAGAGTTGACCCCAAACAACCAAGCATATGCCAAAACAGTATTGTTCAAGTATTCATTCACTTTCTTATTTTGTATAAGCGTTATATTCCCTAATATCTTATATTGAATGTTGAGAGCCTTTGTTTGTCTGAACAGATAATCCAACGCTCCACTGTGACTGCGCAAAGATCGAAATAAAGACCTATTCACTACTTCTCTGGTTTCTTCTGTCAATAGCATGAGGGTTACCCTAAGGCGCGTAAGATCTGCTTCTTGTTGTAACGTTATATATCATATTTTTATTTTACATTTTTGGTATACACTTTGTATTTGTGGACTTCTTCACATATATGCATATTTTATTTTCACCATGACAGAAGTGGCACCTAGACTGCTCAAGATTATGACTCATTCGCCTGCCACGTTCGAATTCACGACATTCTGACCAGACAATATAGTGGCCTGGTTCTGCTACGCAGAAGCTGAATTCCACGATCACGGCGTGTCAGACCAACGTGTACAATTCCTCGCAGTAGGGGAAGCACTGCTGCACGATTCTGACAAGTACGTCACACCTAGTTCGTTTACAAGGGATGTTTCTGAACTTTACCCCACTATGGATAAGACTATCACAAAACGTGTTGATCTTACTGACTGACAAAGTTTAAAACAGTTCTTCTAGAACATGGAGTTGAAGCGTGGCCTAGTAACGCCTGTGTTGCTACGTATGCGAGAGGTCTTTGTTCAACGGACTTTTGATAAGAGCCTTTTAGGACAGCTCTTCTTATCTAAGCTTTCCTGATAGGCTCAGGCGGTTATTATTTCATTTCAAAATGACTTCGCAGACAAACCGGCTGCATCTCCGAGTAGAATTAGGAAGATCACTAAATTATCCGGCATTGAGGTTGGTTCTGTCAGAGAAAATTCTCAAAGAACACAAAATGACATTGCGGATTTCTGTCATACTCTCATTAGTTATTTTAATATTCATCATACTCACTGGCGCTCCAACAAGCCTATCACGAAGAGCATCTGTCTCTAAAACACGATAAGTATGGTAAGTCCCCTATACACTGCAGAAAACCTTGCAGTTTCCCAACCTTCCAACTATCCGGAACGAAAAACCTCTGAAAAATTCCTCACTCTGGTATGCAATAACAGTAATCGTATCTGTTAGACAAGGCCGTTTGTAGTAAATCACCGACGTGATGGCAAAAGGATCACCATTTTGTTGACATTGAAGCGGAAGTTATAATTATTCACAAACAAATTGTTGGTACATAATTGTTGCAAAGAATACATTTTACAGTTTCTTCAGAAATGCAGTCCTACACAAGTTTCAATGAGGTTTGCATAATATTTGCCATATATATAATCAGGTTCTGTGGGAATAATACTGAGCTGAACTTAAAGAAGGAAAAAGGAAAAAAGAAGGAAAGAAACCTGGAATTTGCAAATATTTTAATAAGTGTGTACGTGAAAACAGAATAAGAACGAACGTGATGTATGTATTACAAATGAATAAAAAAACAAATAGGGAGATGAGAAAATAAATCATTAATGCAGTATGATGCGATGATAGAACGAGAGTTTGCGCAATAATAATTTGGTATGACGCTTTGAAAGTCATAATTAATTGCAAAGGATAATCAAATATCAGTTTGTATGTGTCATATAAACGTGATGAAGATACAATGAATTTGAACAGTTCAAGTGTAACACAAGATAAGCCTTACAAGATCTACTCGAAGAAGCGGATCTCTGTCAAAATTGTTTGAAAGATATATCAGAGGAAGAACAAGAACACATCAATTAATAACAGTCAAACAAGAGCAGAGAAAACCAAAGTGTAGACCCAATACACAGAAGCAAGCAAGTGGGTGAAGTGGGGCATTAAAGACAACAAGTAGTAATACGTCACGTAGCCAGCCATGTGTGGTGTTTGAATGAGTTAATGGTACCTTTGTACCTGTCGAATGCTTGATTTCGAATTCTAAATACAACACATTCGTTCGTGTTTATCTAGCACTTCTTGATTCAATTGGGTTATTTCTGGGATTCTTAGTTCATACTATAATTCAAATACTTATAATTACTACACCACGGCAACTGAAAAAGCTGTAAGACAAGAAACTGTGAAAAAACCTATATCACACAACGAAGAAACTGGTAGTGAAATATAGTAAGTCAGAGGAACCAGTCAAGAACAACGAAGTATGTTAATCACTGAGATTCAATAATAGAGTAACATGTGGTAAAACACTTTGAAGAACTATGAACTAGGTCATCTCTATTGAATCCACCGGATATTGAAGCAACATACACAGACCTTTCCGTAGATGTCACTTCACCAACGATTCATGAAATCGGGATGGCCATCAGACAAATGAATAGCGGAAAAGCAGTAAAACCTGACAATATACCAGCTGAAGCACTGGAATAAGACACGGGAGAGACATTAAAGACTCTTCGCTTTTTTCAGGATGAATTTTGGCACGGGAAAAATGTCAGACTCTTCCGAAGCTTCCCACTGTTTCGTTTCAACGACCCTGAACGGCCTAACAAGAGGCGATAATTCCGTATTTCACTTGCCGTATTGGCGTAGCGGCCTGACTGTGCCAGTAAATCGCGTCACTAGAGATAATCATTAAACAAACAACTGAACGGAATTCGTCATCATACATCAACTCCCTTGACTATAAGAATTCAGTTCTTAGTGTATATAGAAGGATTTTATGAAGCCTTCTGAGACAATATGAAGTGAGTAGCTTGAGAAGATCGTCAACATTATCCAGAATTCATATGATGAACTACACTGCAAAGTCGTATATAGAGAACAGCTGACAGACTCATTCCAAGCGAAGACCGGAGTCAAACGAAACCGCTTACTCTTCTTTCTCTTTCTTCTGGTGGTTGAATGGGTCATGAAGAGCTTTGATGCACCTAGACTATTCGGACTTTTTAGATAACCTGACTTTTCTGTCCCACATCTATCAACAGATGCAGATGAAGACAATCAGTGTATCAGCAGCCTATGAACCAGTAGGTCTAACATACACAAGGTAAAAAGCAAGATCCTCTTTAGTATCCCGGGATCTGACTTCAAGTAGATCATGTGAATGATTGTTATTGAAATATATATGTCGTCTATCCTGGTATATAATCATCGACTTAAATCGCGTCAGTCAATAGCAGAACTAAATAAGTCAAATACGAAAATGAATTTTGAATACGCATATTTCATACAATCTTTGATCCAGACGAAATATCGGAGAAGTGAAGAAAAAAGAGCGAAGCGAAATGACGCTCAGTGGAGAAGGCATGTAGCCAACTCCATTTAAACAAGCGTTAATCAATAGTTATATTCACACAAAAATAAGTTACAGATGTATGATGAATGGAATAAGAATCGTACACATACACTCATTTAAAAACAGTCAAGGTTGGCAGGTGAATAATTAACAAGGTCAAAATGTGACTCATATAGAATGAATAGATCGGCATGTCCGAAAGCTAGAATAGGATATGTGGGCTTAATATATTAACCGACACTACATCTCAAATACAACATTGAGAACACCAACTGAATCACACTTGGTAGAGAAAGTCTGGAAGAGGTTGAATCACGTACCTAGAAAAACATAATATTCAGAGTATGCCAACCCAATCAAATTAGAAGTCAGAAGTGATGAGGTCCAAAAATATTCTCGAAAGGCATTTGATATACTTAGAAGCGTTTAACCTATGCTGACTAACGGTTGAAGGAAATGAGTGGCATGGTGTACTAACTCATGATATGGTGCGGATGCGTGGCCGAGCGCGTTCAGCCAGGTGTGCCCATCAAACCTAGTGAGGTCAGCACCAAATCTCAAAGACTTACTGACCTATTTAACTTGTAGATTTACTTACCGCTACAGACTCAAACTTTCCTATGTTCTATCTTTACTGTTGACAAGTCGAGCGTGTCTCATATGTTGGAAGATGGACGCAAAGCAAAAGACATAACCAACTCTTTCAAAAAGTCATTCACACACAAGTACTTAGTCGCCGATATAAATAGCCCAACAGGGGTGGTCGGAAAAGTGCTTAAAATTCTTGATGAAGAACAATGCTGACCCTCCTAAAAATATTAAGCCTAGTTTTTAAAATAGTCTAATTCTATTATTAAACACTTTAAACGCTATGAATGTAGTGGGGTTAAGTTATCTGCTTATAAACTCGATTTCAAGAATACCCTATCATAAAGCTTGCGCTGCTGATTGTTGTCTATTACCGTCCCTGATAAGTGAGTGCATTAGCCGAGACTTCAACTTACTTTTTTAATTATCTTTTCCGGTCCTACCCATGCTACTCTACATGCTCCTCAGTCATATAAAGTGTCTTCCGGCTAGACGTGAATTGCTACATCAAGAAACTGCATAACCATTATTAGGCAATTACCAAAGAATAGTAGTTATTAGACATTGTTTTAATTTTTTCATGCTGGCGGTCCACCGACCTCGTTAATTACAGGTGGGAATTCAAAATGCCCGCAGGCAAACCGTCTGGTCTGAGGACTGCTCGCAAACTTCGAAACCATCGCCGAACCCAGAAATGGTCGGATAAAGCATACAAAAAGGCTCATATTGGAACGAAGTGGAAAGCTAATCCTTTCAAGGGTGCCTCACACGCTAAGGGTGTTGTGCTAGAGAAGGTAAGTCACATTGTTCAAGACATTGTATCTTAGGTTGGTGTTGAAGCTAAACAACCAAATTCTGCCATCCGTAAATGTGTAAGGGTTCAGCTCTTAAAGAATGGAAAGAAAATCACTGCTTTCGTACCTAATGATGGGTGTTTAAATTTCATTGAGGAAAATGATGAAGTTCTTGTGTCTGGTTTCGGGCGAAAGGGGCACGCAGTCGGCGATATACCTGGTGTAAGGTTCAAGATTGTTAAGGTTGCAGGTGTATCACTTAAGGCTTTGTACACACATAAGAAGGAAAGACCCAGATCTTAGTATTTTTCATAATATATTTTCGTTTTTGGATATAGATTGTTAATTACGAATAACATGTTGACACGGTTTTATTGTATAGTGACATCTTTTCTTCATCTACTGATGTGCCTGGTTCCTGAACTTAACGTTCTAGTGCATTAAGTTACTACCCTTTTAAAATGCATAGTCGAATATATTTTGCGTTAGTCTGCCTGTATTTGAGTACTATCACTTGTTATTTATAAAAGTCAGTCAGCTACAACGTAGGACCAGGCACATATGTGCATCGGTCCAGGTTGCCATACCGCGTCAGCACAACAATATGAACACCGGATTCATAGCAATGTTTAGGTCAAAGGTAGTAATATATAAGAGAAAGATTGCATATAGAGATATAGTACAAGAAGAAAGAATTGGTTCGTAGAAGAAAAGGTATGAAGCGATTTTAATCTCTTAGTTTAAGGGAAGACAGGGAGTGTATACACCGACGCCATTGTGATCGATTCTGAGCCATGTCACCAAGAGTCTCCAACCATTGGTTACGAGTCACGCGGACCCCAACCAAGTAGTCTGCATCTTCCAACATAAAAGATGCGTACCGGTGCTGTGGGGGTATATCTTGTCATTCAAATGTTAGTATGTTCTATAAAAAACAATCTTACCACCAGTACATCAACGTGAAATAATATTGATTGATTCATCTAACTCCTGATTGTTTATTTAGAATCTCATTTGTTTCCATCAATTTCATCAAGATTGAAGTTGTGTCTATTGCTTCATGTTATGTATTGTTCGCTGCGATGATTAACCTAACCAATGTGACCACTCTTTTGTTAGGTTATGTTTGTTTACAACTGGTTAAGTGTATGCTGATATTGTCATGACCAAATTCTCCAACCCAATACATACATTTTTTAAGCTTTGTGCCTCTTCATTATAAGAGAAACTTGGTGAAATGTCTTGCAAATAGAGCTCTTAAGATATGCCCAGTCGACACAACTGATAGGGAATTACAACACATTCATAATATTTTAATTGAATTGGGATATCCACTGGGTTTCTTGAAGAAACACTTGCGGGTACAAAACAAGAAAGTAGTGACTGACGGCTAATAAGAAACCGCTTTTCTTGAAATTGCGAATCAATGGTGATTTAGCTAGCGATGTATTACGGAATAGATTGACTAGAGTAGTAAAGAGAATGTTTGATGCTGCCAACCTCTGCCTATTCTATTCAACCCGATCGATGGTGATTGAAGGATAAGTTACCTGGTTATGCCACTTCTATGTGTATCTACGAATTCAGCTGCTCCTGTGGAGAAAGCTATATTGGGCGCACTACCAGGCAACTGAACGAGTTAGTGAACACCTCCCTTGGTGGTTAGGAAAAGGTTACGTCAAAACAATACGCAGCTCGGTTCTGTCACACTTGATCGATGATTCACTGTTATTCTAACAACTAACAAGACTACAACTATTAGAAATGTTGACGTTATTCAGCGGTTTATTTTTTAGAAAACGAGTGAAGAACCTAAAATAATATATATTTACTTAAATTATCATAATACTCTACCAGTTTCAGAATCAAGTTAACTTCAAGAAGCTAATATTTGCAAGCAGTATTCAATATGTTTCTGTCAAGTATGTGAGGTAAAGCATTTGGATACAGAATATTAATTGTTCAGCGGTGTTATTTTCACAAGGATCGATACGAAGAGCTTGTAACAATAGTTGCAGATTCTAGACACCGGCCGAACGTCCAGTTTCTTTACGCTATAAACCGACAGTTATATCTGAAAATTCGAGCGAGTATGTTGAAGGTGCTTTGAAGTTGCCGTAAGCCGACTTCTCAAAAATGTATTTATAAGCTAGTGGTAGAGACACATTAAATTTTCTTTTTTCTAAATCTTCACAGTTGTAATGTGTTATTAGTGAATAGTCCTAAGATGTTAAGGAGAGCGTTGTTTTTATGTTCCGATTTACGTGTAGTGAACAGTTCCTCAACTCAGACGGTAATAATTTATAGAATTGTGGGCTTTTCAACAAATGATAGATTTCCATTGCCTCTAAATTTTGAGTCACTTTCAGCTAGAAGTAATAAAATATATGTTTATAGTATTTAAAGAGACAAAACATACACTATCCATAACGTATCTAGACTCGATGTTGTTTCCACAAGGTGAGATCCTCAAGTACTGAATCTTTCCAACGTTTCCTCGCTCAATCTGAAATATTTTTGGTGATTTATCAAAATAGCACTAATAAATGACATTACTGATTAAATATTGGCTAGTAAATCATTAAATGATACATGCATTCAGTCTCACATTACCTCCGAAAAATATAGGAAGGTCGTCAGTTTATAGAAGGGGGCAGTGGTATTAAGGGAAGATACGTCGGACTAGTTTCTGCTGGAATAGAAGTCGGTGGCGGTACAAGCTTGAGTGACTTCGACTAAAAACTGGCTGTTTTTGCTGAACTGTTCCTCCTTTTATTTATAATAATCACCCTTTATCCCCTGAATTTTATTTTCTTGTGTGGCGCATATTTAGTTGTACTTTTATTGTGCGCTTTCAATTAAACTCCCGTAAGCACTCATGAAGAAAATGCACCTGTGACAAGGTGGCTGTCTAATAGTATCGTATGTTTTGTTCATCTTTGGTTTTCAACGGATGTCTATGTATAATTTTGTGCTTTGTAGTTACTAACCAGATATAGAGGTTTAGTATATTTTACACCGTATGACCAGAGCAAGAACTGTAGCTTTCATGTTTTCCTGTTGGTATTCATAATCAATAAGTACATGGTGGTGAAGTCATCCTCCTTTTAACAACATAAACTAGAATAGAACGCTACCCATATATGCATGTATTATGATTAGTTAATAATCTTTATGACTTGAGGCATGGAAATTTCACTATCGAAGTAGTTACTGCTACAGAATTAGCACAAGTATTTATATTAGTCATAACCAGTTGTCGCTTGTAGTTTGGTGCTTCATGGCTCAAACGAAATGAGGAATTAGGTATGGTGTAATTAGTCTCTCTGAATGAGTCTATTTGTTTTACTGCATGTTAAATGACGGAAATAGGGTCAATCCACAAATCTTGAACGCTTGACATTTAGATAATGGGTAGGATTTCTGAATTATATTGTGTTATTCATTGTAAATCTAGCCAGTTCTCAGCTGATGACATTGAATATATTATACTAAGCACATCTCTTTGTGATTAGTTCAAATTATGAGCATTATATTTAAGGTATTAGAAAATAATACGGACGAAACTGCTTCGTAGTTGGCACTTCTGTTAATAGATGAAGGGATATATTGAATTCATAATCGGTGACTCAAACTGAGCAAAGCTTTTCCAAAGTTACTAAAATCTCATTAGTTATTAACCCGAAAGAATTAGTTCTTAGGATTGCATCGTTTCATTTAGTAAAACTAGTTGCTGATGAAGAATAGTAAGTTAGCCTTTTGCACGTTGAGGGAGAAGCCCATCGCACGTTCTTTGACTTCTCTCTCGGAGTTTAATGGATTCAGACTTTTTTTTTAGCTTCAAATAAAACTTGAGTCAGTTTGGGAGTCATTAAGCGGAAGACTAAGGTAAAATAGCAACATACAACCATATAATACTGATGACTAAAATCACTATGATCTGCAGATCCATATTTCAGTCCGAAAGTTAGTAAAATTCATGTCAATTGAGTTGTAAGAAATGAAAAGTTCTAACAACGATCTGGGCAGCTGGACTGTGAATATATTATTATTCCGAACTATAGCCCGTGTGTCCACCAGATAAGACTAGGATCTTATCGCTGTCACATAGATTTCTCTGCTGGTTTCCCTATTCACCTTTACGTACGGACGTTCGCAGCATTTTAATACTATATTGGGTTTTCAACCCAACATCGACATATTTGAGATCCATTAAGCACGATATCAACTGTTGAAATTAACAGCTGTTTTGATGTGTAGTAGTGAAGTCTGGCAGAAAAGTACGTTGATTACTAAACATAAAATAGGATTTCTACCGAGATATGTCAAAACAATCGATGGGGACAGTCTACTGATGTAAAGTCCTTTTTAAAAGGAAGTACGTTTTTAATATCTAATAAACAGCCCAAACCTTTCCGACAGATGATTGTAAATCAGCAAGATTTTCAGTGAACTTGAACTTTGCAGACCATTTATTTTGGGATCCAATAACATCCAAATAAAATTCCTTGGGATCATTTAAGTGAATCAGTGGAGGTCTTATTTCTAAAGTATACTGAACCTTGGCTGACTGATTTCCAGGTTTGGTTTTTAGACGAATCTCCTTACGGGCTGTCACTAGAGTGAAATCAATGATACAATCAAATGTTATCTTATTCAAACGATGTTTGTTACTCGAAACAGTTCTTATCAGTAATAAGGAAAATAACTACATCATATGAGCAAGAGGATTATCAAAAATGAAGTCATGTAATATCACATACATAGTATATTAGGCTGGTTTCGTATTTAATGAAATAGTGTTCCTTTATCAAGAAAGCGTAGTACCTGGTAGGATATCACGTAACTAGATTACATAAAAACTGGCTTTGCGAAGTATGGAGTAACGACATTTCGAAATTATTACTAGAATAAGTAATAAATGTTCGCACAACGTTTGAGAACAGTAATTTATTATCATCCGAAAAGTAGTTGTGGATTAACGGGTTACATATACCGACTTACTCCGTGATGTTCTGACATAGCGAGAGACAAATGAACATCTTGAGCTCGCACTTATCCTTGATAACGCGATTTAAGAAGCAGTTCGAGTGTATGTATAACGGCTTTAACGATGGGGTTGGTGCGCAGATGTAATCAGTTCATATATAGTAAAAACCATAGCATAGTGATTACTAAGAACTTTGTTGAATAATAACAATAATCATTTACTAGATTTACAAATAGGTGTAACAGTAGAAACTGAAGCGAGATGATAAGCCGTGTGCATTGCTTTTTGCTTAAAAAGAGACTAGGGGACATAAATGTATCAGTAAACAGCATATCTTTCCACAAAATAGCTGAAGTCTTCTTAACTTCATAACGATCGTAATGTGTATCTACCAAATAGTCGATCTCGAAGTGATTTATTGTAGAGGGGCTCATAAATATGACTCCTATCTGAAGATGAGGAAGTTTCTGAACGAGTATTAATTCAAATTTATTCAGAATATTGAATTTTATAACTTGTCGAGGAAAAACTTAGCACACGAATTAAAAAAACTCGTAAATCCGACGGGGTATAAATTATATTATGTCTGGTAATAAATTTGTCTTCAAACTATCTAAATATCAGTTGCAGTAATCTAAACTAAACCGAAGATGTTATTGTATAATCCAGGACAACAATAATATCCTGTTAATCGAACAGTGGGGAAATGCTTAATCATAGAAACGAAGACGGATGAATACGGAGATTTATGGTTTAAATGAACATTCACGTAATGAACAGAACTTTTGATGATTAGGAGCAAGTGGGCTTTCTTATTACAATAACTATATGCTAATTGACGTAACAGTAATAAAATTTATGATAACTAAAAAATAGTATACATCTAACTGATTACCTTCAGGTTTATGTTTGATAAAACATCTCTTCAAAAATATTCTCTCTAATTCCATTGTCGAGTAAAATATTAAGATGTGATGTGGTTCACAATTACGAACTGATTAAGGTCATTTGATAGAACCAATCACAGCCACCATACTTAAACTGAAATAATTAAAATTTTGTTTTATAAGGGCAATTAACTTTTCGATTTGTTTAGAAAAGTGGATCTACACTATGTTGGGTGATAAAAATGACACACAGATAAAAGGTTGATGCTAGAGATAAAACTGATACATTCTCAAATATATGAGACTATATATGTTTACAGTACGTATGAAATAGATAATTATGTGTCTAACTTGGGAATACAGTTTTCGAGTCTGCAGAAAATGTCAACTTACTTAAAGAAAGACAACGATTAACAAGGTTATTTAACATTTTGATCATTTAAGTGACAATGATCAGTGAAGCTATAAGACGGAATTGGCCTTGATTGTTAAGTATCTTATTAATTTACATAGTAGTGGAATCAATCTATAGTTAATATAGTCAATCACCTTAAACAGCGAGTGTCCGTGATCATTCTAGAATACTTTAAACTAGAACTTTATGCAAAATAGAGGAGAAAAATTTATGGTGAAGGAGATACACTTACAAAACACTTAGTTGGATTCCACTTTTAATAATGTTATTAAACTTACCGGAGAACAAGTTATCTGAATCTAGCGTGCTACTTTTAACCAATTCATTTCAACAATTAGTCTAACTGATATGTTTATACTGGGCAACTATGTATTTAAGACCAAAACTACCTTATGAATGAACAAGATTGTTTTTACTGATTTATCATTAGATGGAGAACTATAAATTAACTATCGAACATATTCAATACTTTTGCGACTAGCTTTAAAAATATCTTAGTCACTTGTCTAAAACCTAATAATTCACTTAACTGAACGCCTTCAACTCGGCGCGATCATCATTCAATATCAAGGGTGAGCAATTGACCTCTTTTGAGATTAAGTTAATCTATTTACTTATCTCTATTCCCGTACGGAATAATCAAAATTACTATACCAAATTATCTACTCATATTCAACTGAAAATCGAACAAAGCTAAAGCTAGAAAAATATCTATATAAAAATATACATACGCAATACATTTTGTTACATACTTGCGACTTTGTACACATACAGTGACAAACACACATAAGTTACTCATACTCTATCATGATTTCTGTCAATGGAGACGATAAACATTTTGTTGAATTAATTATCCTAATACCTTAAACTATACATATTCAATGTAAAACTGAACTTTATCAAGAAGTAAACAAGGATGTTTTACTAAAATTAAATATACAAATGAATATACATGAGCAGTAATATACAAACAATAAAGGAATAATCTATTTTTGAAAAACCTAAACATTCAGATAGATTTATAAGAATGGCATCCATCCTTTATACATTTGACAGAGTCGGTCAACATCGGTAGCTTCTTTAATTAAAGTATCCACCTACAAGGTAAAATAAGTATATTAAAATTAAAAAACTATATATATATATATATATATATATATTGAAAGAAGACTAGGTAGTGTCCAAATCGGAGTAAATTATTGGCTCTAGAAGCTAGTGATTGTTAGGAAGACTACGTCAGGAAATGGAGCCTTCCTGATAGGTGGTTGCATAGACGACTTAAGATACCTAAAGAACTTAATGATTCATGAGTGCTTCAGCTATCAATTTAGTTTTAAATATAAATTCAGTGAGGCATGCGAGGTAATACGGGATCATGATTAACACAAAAAACAGAAATATCGGGAGACATTCCAGAAGATTTTGTTAACATTACTACCTAAATACGAGACAAAAAAGGTATATAACGATTGTGTCTGAGGTCTTGAGCAATACCTGACAGCGCATTAAAAAAATAAGTCAAAAATTGTTCATGACCTTAGTCAACGGGATAAAAGAAGTACTATCAACAATGTACCATTAAAGATGACCATAGCTTTCCTAAAGCAATATGCACAGCGTTGGTGCTCATTAGACGAATCTATAAACAAGAATAACCGAATGAAAGAGTGAGTTTTGTGCACTAATACGTCATCACACGATAAAACGATGTAATGGATATACTTATGATTAAGAAGTCTATTTGGATCATATATATAAAAAAATATCACGGATTAATTATTAGAGTTGTTGACATAATTCAATCAACAGAAGCATAAAATAAAGATTATGAAATTGGAAAATCCACAGTAACTTATGATACCATAAATCATTGATTAAACCCGTGTTTCAATAAAAAATTCTAGAATGACAACAAACATCTTGACTTGAAAATATCGTTTAGTAGACACGTCAATAACCCTAAATTTTAGTCTTTGTGCTTGTTGTCGTCCACGATTGAGATATATATGAGCCTTGTATGAAGCATGTGCCTCCTTGTTTTTAAAGAAAGATATGAATGTGAATACCGAAAAACTCAGCAAAATGTTGGGGTCTTCATATTAATTGCCAACAACTATTTAATGATGGGTAGAATTCACAGTGAAAATCAGTGACTAAGCTATCCAACTTTGTCACTTTGTTTAAGTATAGGCGTTGAGCATAAAAACAATACACTCGGACAATATCACATGGTGACTGGATTTATAAAAATGAAATACTCTAATTTTTATAACAAATGTACTCAGAAGCATCTAAGCTATAAATAATCAAAAATAATCACATATTAATAAAAGAGAGCTATATTTCTTATGATAAGTTTAACTGTGAAGATGTATTCATAAGCGAATTCATTTTATGTCCACAAAACCCTTTCTAATCAAATGGATCAAAAGTATAGTTCATTTAGTTTGTAAACTTACTTGTCCTTCAACAGACATAGGTAAAATCTGGCTGAATCCATCATGTTCTGTTATTTTACCTTTAAGACGATCTTCCATACGTGCTAATTTTTCTGTAGCTGCCCTGGTTGCACGTTCTGTCAAGTCCAAGTCGGATGATGCGTTTCCATCTGATGTAGAACCACCACGGCGAGTTCGTCCAGCTATAAAAAGAATTGTAAACATAACAGTTATTTTTACCTACATGGTCTTGTCAAAATTTGGTCATTTCTGAGTCTTTTTTAGCAACCAGTTATTGAAAACTAGGTAGCACTGGATAAAGGTCTTGTTCCAGTTAACGATTCTTCAGTTGAGTAGGATCATGATCACACACAGTATATACTTTTAAAATTCCATTTAATCTTCGGTTCACAGTCGTCATAAAATGATTTCTCGTATTGTGTCAGGCCTTTGTGGAAATGATTTCAATGGAGCGGCACTGTGTGTATTAATAAAACTACAAACTAAAAAGTCAAAACATGTTTTATACTTTGGTACGTTCGAATAGACCACTTTATCACCTAAAACCGTAGAAAGGAACGAAAGTCAGCAGCACAACAACAGGACAAGCTAAATTATTCCACTGCGCTCCAGCCCTGCTAACTAGAGGTAGAAAACCAGATTCACCTGATGGAAATATATATTCCATAAGCAGTCTGAAGCATGAACGAATAAGCACAAAACTCAGGCGCATGAATACAGTAAAAAAAATGTCCTAAAAGAGGGAACGAATCTGTTATAACGCTCGGTTTTACTTCGTCTAGTGTTATAACGGTAAGGTTTCGACGTTTACACGTATGGGACGTTAATTTACCTTAAACAAATATCTACACTAGATTCCCTCTGTGTCTGTTCTACAGGACGTCAACACAACTCAGGTCAAGAACACGTGATTGGCCTGACCACAACGCAAATATATTTCCACGCCCAAAACCCCGACGCAATCCAACAACAATAAGTGAGTAATAATAATAAGGATAGGGGAATATATAACTCAACTGACACCTATCAGACTATCTACATGTCTGGTTAAGCAGACAACCAATCATTATCATTCTCGCCCACACATCAGAATCAATGACATTTAAGGTCCTTTCCAAGTGGGGAATACAAACTGAGAGTAAAAATGGGCGCTTTTGGTACAAAAAGAGGAAATTCCAAAATAAAATTACAAAAATGAGACGTTCACCAAGTGATTTGAGGGGAATCAAGCATTCCCAACAGACTTACTACTTTCACCACCAGGCAATGCGTTACTTCGTACGTTTCCAGTTTGTTCAACAACAGCATCAAAATAAATTGGACGGAACACTGCCAAGAGTGGATCGATTTCGTGACGTAGTAAACGCATAACTGCTTCTGAACAACGTCTGAATGTACCTTCATAACCTGTTGGACCCATAGCATGAACCATATTGCGAGTTAAACGGAATGGAACACGTTCAGGCCAAGGTAAAGTAAGACCATTATTGAATACACACGAAAAATCAACATGAACAAGATCACCAGATATAGAGTCGAACAATATATTCTCTGTATGTCTATCACCAAGACCGAGAACATAACCAACCATGCTCATAACTGCACAAGTACGTGCATAACATTCCCGTCCTGAATACCTTAAGTAAAAATAAACCCAATAATAATCGGTTATAAAAAAGTAACGCATGGGTATGGTAATAGGCAATCATTTCTATTAATCCTAGAACTTGCTAACAATATGTTCTCATTACTTATGCCCCCAAACGCCCTGGTATGGCCGAGAAAGTGATAAGTCCGCCCTCCCTCTCGAAGTACTCTCACACGGCTACGCGTATACAGTCTCTGCCGGGGAAGTCCTACTCACTGTCTTCTCGTGGCGGCGGTGTTGTTTACGAAAATGTCCGGTGCTTTAACCGGATTCCAAACCAATGGTGCACATGGGCTCCAGTATGCTGAGAGAACGAATGGCGTATGAACCAATCGTTGGTCACCGGTTACCATGAGACTGCATCTCCTCATGATGCTCCACTGCCTTGTGGGTTAGACCTTCAGGTTAAAGGCTCGGAGTGTGGCCCCCTAAGAAAACCACCTACTTCGGTCTGCGCACCTGGGCAGTATCACAGCCCACACACAAATCAAATGGAAATGACGATATTTACTGAAAATTCTATTCTCGCTTCGATTTACAAACAATTCACATTTCCTCTTCTTATTATTATTTACTGCGTCATTTATTTACTCTCTTTTATTCCCACTCTGTCTATACTTATTTTTCGACTTATACAGCAGCTCGCCTATGGTGGAAACTCGGTTCTATCTAAACGTTCTCGAGTCATTGTCTGGTTGAAAATTGTATGCTACCACCAAATACGAATACTGAAGCAGTTTTCCTGAAACCAAGTGCACCATTCAAACTGACTGTCTTCAGCGTTCGCACACTTATGCAGGTCGGACAACAGATAGGGCTGGCTATGTCTTTGTAAATTCCTAATATCGACGTTTGTTATCTATTCGATACCCGTACTCAAGACTCTGATGAAGTACTACAAATTCGCTCTCCATCTGTCACTTCGATAAGCTTGTTTCACGTGCGCTTATCCGGGGACCCTGTGGCATCTTCGTCTGGTCTTGCTGACGTTGGTGTCGCACCAGGCGCTAGAGCTGAGAGAGCACCATTAACAATCGGATATGTGCTGTCACATTAGAGAGTTCCATCAAAGTGAGAAGAAATCGACGTGAGAAACGAAGTCTTTTCGTCATCTCCGCCTACGCCCCGACAGATTGCAGCCCGGATGCAATCAAGGATGAATTCTACCACCAGTTAACTGTTCTTCGCCAGAAAGTGCGTTCGACAGATATTGTAGTACTTGGATGCTCAGGTCGAGCGTCTAGGCACAGAAACGAATGGCTTAGGTGGCCGATGGGGACTCGTTGGTCGCAGGTCAGATAACGGGGACCGTCTACTGCAACTGTGCACAGACCACAACCTGTTTCTGGCTAGCACTAACTTTCGTCACAGTCATCGCCGATGTGCCACCTGGCGTCCTCCCTCTGCATCCCAAGCCTGGACTCAGATTGATCAAACCACGATCTGCTGCCACTGGCGTGGTTGTGTACAAGACTGCCGCTCCTTTTGGAGTACCTATCTGGACTCTGACCATGCCTCGGTCTGCGCCAATCTTACCTTACTTTTCAGTGGACAACGAAGTGACCGCCACCAAAAGATTGATGTTAGCAAGCTGGTTTCAACTTCTGTTGCAAGTAAGTATCGAACCGTGCTAACTTCTAGGCTAGCTACCATTCCCCCGAAAAGTATAGATGAGTATTGGTTGCAACTTCACGACGACATCAAAATGGCGAGTGAAGCCGCTTGCAGCTTCGCGAAACGTCCCGCTTATAAGCACTGGGTTTCTTCAGGTTCCTTACAACTCATTGAAGCCCGTCGGCCTACTCCGGGTGACCGTGAGTTTGACCACAAACGAAGGATGTTACGTAAGGAAATTGGGCAAAGCTTGCATAAGGACCGAGAAGCCTGGTGGTCGATGCGTGCTAATGAGCTGGAAGCAGCAGCTGCATCTGGTAACTGCCGGACGCCTTTCCAACTCATCCGAGCCACTGGCAGCAAGAAGTCTGATGTGAGTGAAACAATCTGCGAGGATGATGGGATGCCAATCACTAACATCCATCGACGTCTTGGACGATGGGCGGAATTTTTCGAAGGACAGTTCAACTGGCCTGCTGCTCCGGCAACACCCGTCAGACTGTCCTGCCCTCCATGGCCGGTGACGACTGATCCACCAAATGAGGAGGAAGTCCGCAAGGAACTCCAACTCTTGAAGCGTTACAAATCACCTGGTCCAGATGACTTACCTCCGGCTCTTTTTAAAGATGGTGGTGACTTTCTGGCTAAGGAATTGACGACGTTGTTTACAAAGGTTTGGGAACTAGAGAGTGTACCAACGTCATGGAATGAGTAGATAGTTGTCCCTATCTTTAAAAAGGGTTCACGTCGTTCCTGTAACAACTATCGGGGGTAAGTCTACTTCCGATTGCGTCCAAACTATTGGCTTCCGTCATACTTCGTAGGTTGTTCAAAACCCGAGAAAGATTGACTCGCGAGGAGCAGGCTGGGTTTCGTTGTGGTGGAGGATGTATTGATCATATCTTCACCTTCCGCCAAATGTTAGAACACCGTCATACTTATCAAAGGCCAACAATCGTAGTGTTTCTTGACATCAGGGCTGCCTTCGATTCGTTGGTTAGGACTGTTCTCTGGGATTGTCTATTGAAGAAGGGTGTGCCTGAGAAGTTTATTAACATCCTGAAAGCCCTATATACAAACACCTCAGGCAGAGTGAGGGCATACAACCACCTCTCTCTATTGTTCCATTCGAGCAGTGGGGTTAGGCAGGGTTGCCCAATCTCACCATTCCTCTTCAACTTTGCCATCGATGACATTCTGGAAACAGCTCTGATGAATGTAAGTAATGGTGGTGTGGATCTGTTGCCTGGAGAAAGACTTCTCGACCTTGAGTATGCGGACGATATTGTCTTACTGTGCGATAATGCCCAAGGCATGCAATCCGCACTTAATCAGTTGGCAATCAGTGTCCGTAGGTATGGTATGTGCTTTGCACCTTCCAAGTGCAAAGTACTTCTACAAGACTGGCAGGATTCTAATCCTGTACTCACCCTGGATGGTGAGCAGATAGACGTAGTCGAGAAGTTCGTGTATCTGGGTAGCTGCATAAGTGCTGGTGGGGGTGTGAGTGATGAGATCAATGCACGAATAGTAAAAGCCAGAGCGGCTTATCCCAATCTGGGCCATCTATGGCGCCTTCGTGATGTTAGTCTGGCTGTAAAAGGTCGGATCTACAACGCGTCGGTGAGAGCAGTTTTGCTCTATGCTTGTGAAACCTGGCCTCTCCGAGTTGAGGACGTTAGACGACTTTCTGTGTTCGATCATCGTTGTGTCCGAAGGATTGCTGACATCCAGTTTCAACACCATATCGGTAATGCAGAGGTTCGGCATCGTGTGTTCGGGCACAGAGATGATAATTCAATTGGTGTCACCATCTTGAAACACCGACTTCGGTGGCTTGGACATGTTCTCCGAATGTCGTCCCAGAGAATTCCACCTCGTGCATTATTTGCCGACTCTGGGACTGGTTGAAAAAAGCGGAGAGGTGGTCAGTGCATGACATGGTGTCGTGGCATGAAAGAAAGCTGCAAAGGACTGGCTTCTGTCGGTCCTTCATGACTCCCTGGCTGGGGTCCTAGAGATGGTGCTACACAGTGGCTAGAGACGTTATCAGATATGGCTCAGAATAGAAGCCAGTGGCGATCCTGTTGTAACCTTTTATTTTCATAAAAAAATGGTTGTATCTTCCTTAACTGAAAGATTTCTTCTGATTGTACCTTCCCGTTTCCCCATTATTACTATTATTATTATTATTACACTACCTTACACTAATCTGTTCGTTATTATTCTTTTTTTACGCTCCTTACTTTTTTTCTCTTCCCATTCTGATTGTTTTGTGTGGCGCATATATATTTGGCGCCCCCTTGTACCAATATTTATGTATTCAAATAATAATAAACAAATAAACTTGTTATCGGGCTTTATTCAAGCATTTTTAAATTATAGCTCATGACGAAATGACATATCGATTATTGTTATCACCAAAGCTAAAACTAATTTAAAACATCCACATTACCAGAGAAGCCTACGTAACCAACCCTACAATTATTCAAGGATTAGCATCAAGATTCATTTGTCACGTCATAACCTCTTGTCAACTTAAGAATGACTGAAACCGGCATCAAGAGTGACAAAACACAGCTATTTTTGGAAATTAGATTAGAAATAAAAGAACAAAAGCTATTCATTTAAATAACCACAAGTAAACATCTAAAATACTGGATTTCGAGACTGTTATTTAACGTTGTACACTGAATGTTCATTATTCATCAAAAACAACCAAGAATAAATTGTACAATAAATTTGAAATGAATAATAGAATTTAATTAGTTGGCATATACTACATTTAGGTCACCAGTCTACAGAGTAATATATAAACTATTCTTTAAAATAACACTAACCAGGAACTTGGATTGCTAAACGTGCTTAGAAACCAATTATAGAAGACAAGTGGGAACATAGGTAACCATTTGTTCAAGTATTTATCACGTTTCACTCTGAAAATTAAGAAACATGGTTTATTATAACAATATGAAATGAACAGGTACATCTTAAACAAGAATATCTACTCATTTCAATTAATGTTTGCACTTTTATCACTACATACCAATAGTTTCAACTGGCAAAAGGAACCAAACATTTAAAAAATTTTGTAACTAGTGTGTACAAAACCCTAATCAATCACGTGAATGACCATCAACTGACTCATTTTGGACAGATATGTAAGTCCCAGTTTTCCTCAAAAAGTGAATATCTGTAGGGGACACTGAAAAAATTGTTTTATCATTAACTAGATGAAAGTGAAATGTGTCTAGTAACATGTGCGCTCAAATCAAGATTGTCTGAAGTGGAAACTTGAAGTATTAAGCGTATTTATTATTTGAGAATAACAAATGATACAGTTATTATATGCATCAGATTTTTCAGTGATTATTTAATTTGCACAGGTTCGTGGCGAATAGCATTTTGTGGATTAGTTCGGTTATGTATTTATATAAATACATACTATAAAACACTACACCAAGCTTATGACTGCATAGAAACTTACGATAAAGGATCTTCAAGCAAAGGTGCTAAACGGCTCATATTAGCCCAATTGATAGGTTTACCAATCTCATTATACAGACGTGTGATGATAGATCGAAATGGCTGTGTATTACGAACCCATTCAATTAATCCACCTTTTTCACTTAAAGGAATTACCGCCTGAAATTAAGGAAGTACAGATCCAAGAAAAAAAGATTCATTAAAGCAAGCAACTAAGATTACGCATATTTTTATTTTCAGAATCACTCAAATAAATCGAACATCACTTAAACATACAGTGTAATATAATTTTAATGAGCAAAAAATATCATGAAAATTATATTTATGTTTCAAAATCGAAAGTATTGGTGATCTTTAACATAGTTTAAGTTCAATACAATATCAACAAATAGAAAATACAAGTGCAGTAATATGTATTGCATGCCATGAACCTCGAATCGAATTTTCATGCAAACTGATAACATAAATATTCAGAACAGTTTAGTTACGGATTATATAGTATAAGACTCTTAAAGAGGACAAAATTATTCAAGACAGTCTATTAGTAATAGGTTGTCTTAAGCTATAATCATTCTAAGTACTACGGCAAAAAAAACGAAAGTGTATTTAATTTGTAATGTAGTTAGTAGATCAGAAGTGAATAATAAAGAAACGGAGTTAATCAATCCTCTCTTTTGTCGAAATAGTACCTAACAACTAGTTGTTTTAAAAAACGACTTATTCGTTAACAAATCTTGTAAAAAAAAAGCAACAAATTGTTCGTCTAAAATGAAATAAAGAAGTTTATTTACCACTTTTGAAAATTTTGTGATTTGCTACAAAATTATACATAGATTAAAAAAACCCAGTTGAAGTAATACAATCGAACGGTTTCCTGAATCAATTGACGGAGAAGACATATAAATCGCTCAAAAATGTAAATACAAAGTTCAGCTAATTGCAATAACATTTCCACGTATGTACAACGCCTTGTCATAGTTTATAGTGTGAATAAAGGTTTACCAACGCCTCGTACAGTTACGTAAATATATATATCAATGAAAATTAAATATTTAAGTTTAGAAAAATGTATTATGGAGGAAAAAAATGATTTTATAAAATAATGAAGTGGTTGGAGTGATACACACGATCAATCCTCAAATCTTATACGGGGAAAATATAGAATAACTAGCTGGTTCGGTATGCATGCGGACATATAATAAAAAATCAAAGTTATTATTTATGTACAAAATGTTCAGTCAAAATAATATGACTATAGGTCATCTTCCAGTTGACAAATGGATGATCAAGAACCATAAATAACGGCAACCAAATAACCAATAATTATACATTTCTTATTGTAGTTTATACTTACATAAGTACGAATTTGCAAGGCACGTCGTCGGGTATTTTCATTGATAACTAAAAATTTATTGATCATTCCATTTAATTCCATCAATCGAGAATCTTTACGAAGATCATCCTGTTGCAATTAATTTATTAGGAAACAGCTAAATGAAATCACAGAATTTTAAAATATTAACTAAATACTGAAACTGTAATAATGAGCACTGTTGAGAAGTCCAAATACTAGAACGAAATGGCCGTCCAGTGCTTCCAGGTTTTCAACGGTGGTTTAGCTTAGATCATCTAGTGATTTCAAGTGTGAAATAAAATTATTGATAATAAACAATTTTCTTGATGGTGTTTATATTCAAAGATATATGTAGTTATCAATTAGTCTAATTAATTTTAATTTAATAGTTGTTTATCTAAAATCGAATACGCTGAAAAGCCTTGACGAAATAGTCTAACACCAGAATTCGTGTAGGATCAGCCATGAAACGATTGATTCCTATAATACAGATTTATAGATTCTTGAACCGAATCGTCTAATGGTAGCATCTTTAAATGCAACATAAAACCACAATTTTACACCCTAGATAAATTATAGCTGAACTCCTTTATGGCTACTTGAGATATTAGTCTAAATGATATGCAATTAAATGGATACAGAGAAATTAAATCCTTTAGAGAACTAAAAATTGGTTTTTATCAACTATTCCACACGTATAGAAAGTAGCCCGATAGTGAGAAATAATCTTTCCGGGGCTGTTAATACATGTTTTACGGTTGACAGAACTGATTTACGAGAGTTAAGTATCAAGTAGAAAACTGAGTGAAACGAGTACATAACAACTGCTTATTTATTCGGTTGGAATAAATAAGAAATAAACGTTTTCAGCAGAAGAGTCAGACACCTAATAAGACATATTTATAATATTAATACAAAAAATTGTGTTTACATACTTCACATAAACTAGAAAATGATAGTTTTATTATGGTTTGATATATTACTAGTGGGATATATCTTTGGAAAAATTTTGGGATACAAAAGTGAAAAAGAACTTACATTAGGTTTGGCAACAATAATATACTCTCTACCATCTGATCCAACCCACGTCATTTTCTTCGGTCTAGTCTGTGATCCCAATATTTCTACAGAATCTTCTATATGTGTAAGACAAACTAATCTATCTGGTTGTTCAGCAAATGGCCAATGATGAGCGATTTGTTCAGAAGTAGCGTTGGGTAGTAAATGATTAGGAACTAGTTGACGATGAATTGGTATAAGGATACGTGAGAATTCACTTGTATAAAAAGAAATGTAAGAAACATTCAAAGGAGGGAAATTTTATTTAAAACAATGAAAGTGAGCAATTTATAGCAAATAAAAATACAGTGTGAATAGTTTATGACAAGTATGAATGCCTACCTGCTTTCAATAAGACGTGTAATTGGACGCACAGTTTGACGTAAACTAAAATTACGAAGTTCGCGTCGGTCAGCCGTCATGAATAATCCACATACTGTTTTCAGATGATTGCATAAGGAGATAGAATCCTGTTTGAAAAACATAAACCCACAGTTAGGAAATGTAATGTTATGGAAAAATTAACCAGAACCACAATGACGAAATGTATAGACTTACAGCAATAAATTTCGACAAGTGCGATTGTTTTGTTCTGAAAATGAAGTAAATTAACAAAGCAATATGAGTCAACCAAGTAACAATGAATAAATAATTTAGAGAAGTTTCAACATAAAAAAGCAATGAAAAGAAGTATATGCGTTTAGACAGAAACTAAACAACTTATAAGCAAATCATTGCCTTAATGAGCGATTTTTGCTGGTGCAGGAGTAGGTTAGAAGAAAACTTGGGGCGGGCAAATCAAAGCCGTAAAGTCATCGACTGTTGAACTGGATCGTGCAGAAGTATGAACACTATCCAGGGTCCTTGTAATGATCGTAACCAATGATTAGATAAATTAGGTGACATGACCTAGAATCCTTCGCAACGGCGCACTTGTATTCACCCTTTGTCTTTTCTTGAATCGTTAATTTCTAATTAATCTTTTACAAAAACTTATTACGCGAACCCATATCTTCTTCCCTAATCAAATCTTCAATGCCGAATTTTTCCTACTTCAAAAAATATTGTTACTACTTCTTGTTATATCCTAGTGAAGATTAAATTGCGGGTAACTTCTGAGAACTATTAATAAAACTAATATATATATATTCTTATTGTACAACTATTTAGTAAATAGATTGTGTATACCTAGATTCCTTTTATTATAAGCTTTATTTTAACTTATAGATTATTATTATTATTATTATTATTATTATTATTATTATTATTATTATTATTATTATTATTATTATTATTATACGATTTACTATCTCTTGGTTATACCGAGTTTATTAATTACAGTCTCACAGTCACAGCCACTTTTGGAATTGATCTTGTACAAATGTTATTTCCCATTTCATAGTGTGATGTGGTCTGTTTGGTTAGTATATAAACCAGGTATGTTTGAAATAAATGATTCGTATAGTGGAAGCTGGTATTGGTGTTCTGGACTCAACTGGCAGAACTAGCAGGAAAAAAGACCAATAAGGATGCTAGGCTGCTCATACCGATCGAACATCATTGGTTTGGCACAGTGTTAATATTGTATAAGTCGTATTCCGATTGGCGAATAAGTCACGAGATAATTACCCGGGCTTAAAGTCACAACAATTGTAATACGTTGACATGTCACTGTGCAGAACTGGCGTGGCAAATTGGACCGATGGGAATATGGGCCAGGTTCTATGTTGAGCATGACTGACTGAAAAAGCTTACTTTTAATTAAAAAAACAGTGAGCATCATTACGTTACAATCCAAAAGCAAAAGTATAAATACCACCTTGTGCCCAAAGCATAGAAGTAGACAGTTGGAAGGAAAATGATCAATTTCTTAGGAAAAAAACCCAAGAATGGAATTCTGTGTTGAAATGTATCAATCTCACAGGCTTATGACTGATGTAGCAGAGCAATATGACAGTATGTATCAGACTTCAAGCAAGGATTATTGGATGCATAGGTTATCGAAAAAAATAAATCATCGCTGGTATTATACGTCAAACTCAAAAACACTGATATTCTACACCTAATGAAACAGTAATAGGTAACATTTTTTGAGTATAAGGAGCATAAGAATAGCAGCTAGCATACATTTTAATAACGAACAAAATTATGGTGATTCTAGAGAAAAACAAGTAGGAAGGATTCAATAAATATTGACTAGAAAATAATCGATACAATTTCATGCTATTTATGATGACGTACTTAATCATGTTGAAAATTTGCTGACAACGATCTCTTCGTTGGCGGACAGTAGACTGTAAAACGAAACAGGAATAAACAAATTGATGAAATAAACTAAGAAAATGGAAACACAGCTATTTAGTTAAGTAATAAAAAGGAAAGTCATACAATATAGGGAAATAAAATAACGAAACGATTAACTAGTAAAGTTATTAGCTATTTTCGTATTCACTGAATCCTTTTACGATCTCAATCAATGGGCTTTTTGAGACGACGTTAGCCGTCATACAACTTAATGAAAATAAATTAATCTTATTGATAAAAAAAGGTTTTTCATTTTCATTAAACTCTGTTACAACTTATTTGACGTAAGCTGATTTTTTGGGATTACATTTTCTAAAGATTAGTTTACAAACATTGTTGGTCATTATTGATTTGGAATGTGAGGACAGAATAGTTCTATCAGTCAAACAAATAAACTGAAAAGGCGTCTTTTGGTAATCTAAGAGGATTGATTGCTACACTATGCTGATGAGGGCCATAAGTTTTAGCACTAGACGTCTTACTGCAGATCACAAATTTGTACACTAATTCTACGACTTAGGTAGTTTCACATGTTATAAATTTGACTTTATCGAGAACAAGAACCAAGATTTATGCATTAAGTTACAATGGATACTGAAATAAATGTGACTTATGGTTCAAAGAAAACCACTTAATTGCTACAAGCCGTTTTACCTGGTACCTGACGAAATATTTATATACAAAATAGTGCCATTGTGTTAGAATTACCCGTTTGTCAAAAATTCAGACTAAAGTGTAGCTTATTAATGACTTCAACAAGGCACAAAGTTACTGAAGAGTGGCTAGTGTGAGAAATGATAAGCCAATAGCTATACATTTATTCTAAGGATAACGATAAATTGTGAATCAGTGGCTAGAGATCTAAGAAAATAACCTATCCCAAAATGATTTTGGGATTTGTTATTTTGTTTTTATTACTGATTTTCTTTGACTATGATCTTCGTCATTAAAGCTGAAATTAACATATCGATTTGTAAACCCACTTGTATATTTTATCGGAAGTGGCGAATATATTCTATTTTTCAAAGCCTCGTTTCACAGTCATTAAGAAGAACAGGACAAACAACTGTGCAGTATACTCATCCTTTCGGTAGGAGTACACGTTTTGTACGCCCACTTGCAGCGTAAGTTGGCAAAAGGCAAAGGAGCTTTCTGAATCTGTGCCAAAATTTCTTTCAACACCAACCGCCAGAATTCATGAAACTACTAAGATAAGTGAAGTGTTCAAGGCGCCCAACTACTTAATTTTCTATAGTTAGTTTAAACCAGTTCTGAAGCACCAAGAAAAGGTGCATCTTTTAGAATATTTTATCTTGGTGATAACAACAACATAACATAAAAAAGCAAAAATACGACTCGATAATCGAAATGCTTACGTCATTCAGTGGAATCAAAAACCACATGGTCTGTAACGGATAAGCTTCAAAAATGCGGACTACTAGTTCGATTAACGTAGTAACTACAGCTGGAATTTCATGGCACACACGGGATAACAGTTGACTAAGAGCAGTGTAAAACTGATAAACAGGAATTCGCTGACAATTAATACGCATAAGCTAAAATGAAAGGAAAACAACTACAGTATGAGTACCTGTACAACGATCGATATTGGAAACTTTAAATGTAAATAACAGTAAAACTTGTCGATAATCAATATGTTTATCTTTTGGGCTTAAGGTAACATTGGAGCCTAGTTCTCGAGTGCTTAGCTAGAACTTGAAAATTAATACTTTGTGTTTAAAAGGTTGTTTCTCAGCTACATATCACGAACGTTGACTGCAGCTTCTACCTTGAGATAGTAATCAAACTTGTTAACAGAAACTACCCAGTCAAAAGATGTTGAACATAAAATTTACATATAACTGATATAAGTTGAAGAACAGTCGAAAGCTAGATTGCACTGTATTGCTGTTTTTAGTGAATTGGTAGGACACTTGAATGATACAACATAATCCAGGTTGATATTCATATGCCAGGATGATAGGTAGAACAAAACTCTCTATCATGAGTAAACTATTTTCAAACATTAATTACAAACTCTAAGTTTTAAAACAAGAAAAGGATTCGTCAACTGTTCAATATTTATTACTTGGTAAACTTACCTCTTGAACTTCATTGAAGACTTTTTGTTCTGAATGTAGATTATTTTCTTCAGCATATTTTTGAGACTTATTTAATTCATGAAAATTACGAACAGAATCTTGACCATAATCCAACCATAATGTTAATAATCTTGGCATTGACTGATAAATAAATTGACTGCCATAACTTAAAGCTAAACCGTAGTGTTTCAAAGCTACTTTGATTAGTGCACTGCAAAAATAAAAGTCAAAACACAGTATAAAAATAATACTAAGTGAATGAAAATTATTTTCAAATGAATACTTTGCGTCTTAAGTGAATAGGAGAATTTCTACCAAAACTCAAACCTAATATTCATAACACAGATAAGGATAAATTTTACTGTCACCAAAAAAATTGCTTGAATAAGTCATCATAATTGTGTATTATTGTGGTGAAACTTATGGTTGATTTTAAACAGAAACCAAGAGCTTACATATAAGTAGATATATGAATATATATAAGAATTTTTGAACAAGAGAGTTTCTGTCACAGTACAGATGAATACAGAAGAATTTGAAAGTTATTAATAAATATGTTGTTTACTAAGTTATCAATAACTAAGTAAAGATTGAAAGCATTACGAATGTCTTTTGTTTTAACAGACTAGATCAGTAGGTCAGAATTCCCAGTCTACGACGTTCACATCCGTTGTAAAAGAATCTGATGGATAAGACTGAATGCTTAACTACTATTATTTTTTCATATTTCTTCTTTACTACTCGTGTATTCATACGTTAACTACTGATGCACCTCGTCCTTTTCTACAATGTAACTTGATAAGTAATTTAACAAATCTATTTCTCATAATTTTCTTTGAACTACGAACTGACCTTGTGTAGATCACTACTGTAAACCAGGAAGTACTAGACAACTGTTTTGTTCAAGCATAGGACTCCTCAGCAGTATGCAATCACAACCTCTATACTACGAAAAAACAGCTGTACATTGCTTTCTGATTCCCGCTGGTAGTCTACCTAAGATCAGTTCGTAATTTCAAAAAAAACTATAATAAAAACTAATTTTGGTTTAATTCTAGTGTTCAGATATCTGATTTGATAATCAATAAATCACAAAATTATTGAAATTCAGACAGAAAGAACATAACTTTAAAGCAACTAGAGAATAACCGGAAAGTATGTTCAAATGATAGGAAAAATTATCAACTGACAGATAACGATTATCAGATAGTTGTTTTGGGGTAAGTAGTATTCGTTTTATCACGAACTACACAACTATATGAGATTTAAGGGCTAGTCTATCGCACCTCGACCAAATCGACTTACCATTGATAATTAAAATTGTTGATACTATTAACGAAAACTGGTTAGAAATGAAGATAAGAACGATGAATTACATCTGAGAAACAATAGTTAGGAGGTCAATATAGATAACTTATAATTATTTCAATTACAAAATCATTAGATTCATACGTAGTTTTATTTAGAATATGATAAAAGGTGTTTCATGATGGATCGTGTATATTACCGAAGTGCTGGAATTCAACATTAAAAACATTAAAAGCCAATAATCAAACAACGTTAGTGAAAAAATAACCACTACATTCCCAAATATGAAATCTTAAATACTTTTGTTGTTTACAGCCAACTGCCTCAGTTCGAGCACGGTCCACATAACGTGCAAGACGAAAATGAGCCTCTTCATAACCGGAATTAAAACCACAAACTTGTTCATAGAGTTTTCCGGTAGTTTCAAAATCATATCTGTTCGTTTCTTCACAATAACGCGTGCGTAGAAGTAAAGCCTGATTAGTTCGAATGAAATGAACAGAGAATGGATAGTCATTTATGTACATCAAAAAAGAAAACCACGTGAAAAAATAAATTAGTTTGAGTTTCTGGGTTACTTAAAAGTATACTTAAAAGAAAAACAAATACATTTTGAAACATACTATACATGATAGTGAACTATTATCGCCAGTCCTCAGTATTTTAGAACTTTAAAAGTCAGTAAACGAAGACATAAATATTTACGTATCTTTATCTGATTTCAAAGTGTAGTGAATTTTGAAGTATGCTGTAACTAACTGTTAGCAAAAAGCATATTATTAACAAAGTAAACGTCAACTCCTACTTTTACACCGAATAGTTAGTCATCCTATTGGACAGTGAGGTATTCAATAAGCAAACGTGTCATGCACTACTGAAATTTAAATTGACACTTTAGAAAGATGTTTAGTAAAAGTATAATGTACAATGAATCTTGACAAATAAGCCTAAACATATACGAAATGATTCGTCTAAAACTAAAATCAAGATATTTACCCTAAGTATTTATAAACAATAATGTAACGGTAACAGTTGTAAGTAATCAACTAGATGAAATGATTCCCTTAGAAGCCCTTGTTAGAATCGTTCAAGAAAGTACATACGGAGTTGGTGTGTAACTTGACATGACTCCTATCTCAAAGCGCACATTGACAAGTTTAATCTCTTTAACTTTTCGAGATGTACATATATGCTTCCAAAAAATCGTGTATTGCTGAAACAATTTGTGCCTTAATGTACATGAATATGTTAGAAGAGTAACTTCAAGACAAACGACCAGTTCAGAAGTTTACAATTGTGTCTATCAACGTGCATTAATATATTTTACTAAGAGCGTTTACGTAGTCTATTGTATTATGAATTCGTTTTGATTAGCAACCAAACTTTATTTCTTTTATTTTTGCTACAGTTAGTTCTTGTCAAAAAGATTTTGTAAAAGCAATTTATTCAATTTATGTATATATTTACCTGTTGTGCAGAAATAGTTCTATATTCTGTAGAAACTTCAATATTTTTATTGGATTGTTTGTTACGAACATTGAAAATACTACAACCAAAAACGTCTGGTATCCCCTTATCCAAACATGCTTGAGCAGCTTCTCTTTTATCAGTCTGCCATAATAGTTTAGCCCTTTCAAGTAGAGCATCTGGAATTCCAAAATCTTCAGCACGAAGAACACAAGTATAAGCTGCCATAAATTGTCCAGATCTTATATGCAAATCAAAGTGTAAAGTATGTTTTCCATGAGAACGTCCATTCAAATACTCAATAAAAAATGAATTAAATTTTAGGTATCTTGGAATTGATATATAAAAGTAGACGTCACAACTACAAGTCTAATGAAAATGACAGAGTATTGGACGGCTTATGTTTCATCGTAGAAATAAGCACAAGTGATCAAGTATTTGAAAAGGATGAATACGCTAACAACTTTATGTCCTCTTAAAAATATGAAATCTGGATCTTTTTTCTCAGTGTCTGTATTCAAATTAAGTAGTGTGATAAAGTTGTTGGAAGAAATAAATAGTATTTATCTTACACTAACGAAAATCCACTACTGAGGGTTTTATTTAAGTTTCACTTTTGTAATCAAGTTCATATGAACACTTATGGTGTCTTATATTTCATTAAATACAGAAAACTGTAATCATGCAGATTAGTTCTGTATAAAAATCCCTTTGACGGCATATATGTTAAAATACGTAACTACGGAACTATGTAATCTCCTTTCTCATCATTCAAAATTGAACGCAGACTAATGTCTTGGAAATTTCTAACAGTATAAATTTTAGACTTAACAATTATTTTTAATTCTACCTTGCTGATCAACCGAATAAAATCAATCAGTTTTTATACTACATATTTTTATTAAGCTGCTGTGGATACCCTGATAAATTACCATAAATAACTGAGAGTTTGAAAAGACAAGTTGATATATTACCGAATAGGCTGAATATGTTGTTAGAAGAAAAGAAATTTGTTCAAGAATATCAGTTGTCTTATGTTCAGCTAGGTACTGGTAAAAGTAATTAGGTGGTTTCCATAAGAAATCATCTACTTCGTACTAGGCGGAACGTAAAATTTTAATTTTTACAAGATGATTATGAACGGAAAATTATTGGAAAACACAATTAAACGATAAATACACCTTTCTGTCTATTTGAACTTTATAATTTGCAAAACTAAAAAAACTGTCCTATTCAAAGTTTATGCATTTGTTGGTTTGATCACAAAACAACTTGATAACGAAAAGGGATATACTCTGCCAAATTGTTGGTTAATATTCAAATATTTAAATTCAATAAAATAATATGATAATAGATACATAAATTTTGGAAATTAAAATCATTAGTTACAACTTACTTTCTAGCTAGTTTAGCACGTTCTAACCAATTATAACCTAAAGCAGTACGTAGTCTCAATATTGTAGAATTCAATACTTCTCGATTAGATATTTGATATGCATCGCTGTTCAATGAGCTTAGAGCTGAAATGACAAGTTGTAAAGCTGCATGTTGAATAGCTAAAACCGGTTCTAAAGTATGGAAAGTTGGTCGACTAACACGTATTCGAGTTTCTAATAATTTTAAAGATGTCTCAACGATATTCTAAAAAGATTTAACAGACAGCATACATAAATTTGTAGTAAAGGATTTAGGTAATATTACTTACGAAATATCAATATGGTTCTAATTAATACATTAGTTAGCTTATCACTAATAGCTTACTACACATCAATTCATTCATTAAAAACAAGATATTTTAAATGCTTGTATAATGTTTACCATGCCAACTGGAAGTTAAATGAAATAATACACGTTTTAAACATATATTAACTTAAAGTACAATTTATTATTCAAATATATTTTTTTTCAGCTGGACATATAGCATCTCTATATTTGAGAACAATTCGTTTCTAGTATAACATAAACGGTCCACTATAAAAACTGTTGTAGATGAAATGTCATGCAATAAAATATGTGCTTCTCAAACTTTTTGTCATAACAAGGACAAAAAGAGTTATTCAATAGGACTTTTGACCCGAAAATAGATTTCATAGGATATTATTCAAAACGCAACTCATAATTAATTCATCATCAACCATAATAAGAAGCATTTATGATACAATGAAATGAATTTTCTATAGGTTAATAGTCAACATTATTTTATCCATGAAATATGTGACTGATCAATCTTACTGCTGATGTGACATGAACCAGATTGAAAAAAGTATTAAACATTTACATTAAAAAGACCGGTAAAAGAAAAAAGAATCGAGAAAAATAGATGTTGATAAACTTGATATTAAAATAATTACTAGAAAAAAATCCAATACATATAAATACAAAATAATAACTCACTGAAAGTTTATTTTCCGATGATCGAGAATTTGTTGGATTTCGAATTTCATTCATGATAACATCACCTAAAGAACTTATCAATTCGATGTCAGATAAAGAGCTTAAACGGACTATTGTATCATAAGCACGTATATAACCACCAGGACCTTCAAGTGCAGCAGCGCCGAGTTCAGTCACTTGATCTATTCTTAACCGGGCTAAGATTTTTGACCAATCAGATGTTCGCTTTGAGAAAGTAGAAATCAAACAAATGATCTAGTTCAGTACATATGCAAACTATGAATAAACAAAACCAAGTAAGTAATTCAGTGACGAAGATCTTTCCGTAAATAATTCAATCATTTAAAAGATAATTAATTAAGGGAATGATTCAGTACTTTACTGTCGCTAAAGTGAACGTCACATTCATACAAAATCATCTAAACAACCATTACAAGCCCATGTAATATCGGAAATGGCACACTCAAACAACCATTCAATTTCATTTGTAACGATTCTAAATGATCGTACTTTTTCTGGAAACATAAGTCTCTGAGGTTACAACACATAAAAACTAAGTCCCATTAGAAATGAGGCTTTGGAGTAGGAGAGATGTAAAACACTAAAATGATGAAAATGATCAGTAAAAGTTAATGCGATCACTTTAAACATTTTATCTTAACATGTTTGAAAAAACAGTGAGAAATAAACAAAGTAAATTACTAGATGGAAGCTGCTTCTTAACGAAGACAGTCGTTCGAAGAGATACGAAACAATAATCATTAATCAGACAGCTGAAATATTAATATGTTGGAATTATATAACAGTTATTAGAGCAAATCCAAGCATCTAAATAAATACTCCATGATCAAATGAATAGTTTGTTAAAACTGATGTTATTTGATATACCATTAGTTAGGTCGAAATGTGTGAATGAAAGGTGAAAGACCAGATTTTAGACCTTAGTTATATCTCTCATAGAAGTATTCAAGTAAGTTAGTCAAAATTATTCAACGACAATATTTCTCAAGTGTTTTGATCATAATCAAGGAGATAATACCATGAAGCGCCATGGCTTAGAGATAATTCTTTAGGTTTCGTTTACCGATCACCTTCATAACCGTTATCATATAAATCCAAACGGTGTAAGAACTCAGAAGGCAATAAGAAGCGGCGACTACAGCTATTTATTAGACAGCACATGTAACAAAGTTACACGTACAGAGAGCGAATGGGATCAGAGTGGCTGGTGTGTGCAAGCGAATACAGAGGTGGATTCACAGTCAAAGCGAATTAAGGCCAAGCGAAAGTAAGGGCAAGGCAATCAATAAGATTCCAGCATATATAAATATAAATATATATATATATATATATATATATATATATATATATATATATATATATATATGGGAAGGAAAATGATTAATCAAGCGGTATTTAAGCGACTAACATTTAAGGTACAGTGAAGAATATGTGCGTAGGCTGTCAAATGTGCTCAAACATACAAATTTAAACAAACAAGGTAGTGACTATAATAATACAAAGAAATATACGAACTGTTACTATTCGAAAAACACTACCTTTTAAATACGTTAATAAAACGGCTCGACAAAATTAACCGCAATCAGAATTAATCGTAAATGTTGCTGTAAGCAAAATCAAATCATTTAAACTACCCAAGAGATATCAAAATGAAAAATAAAACGTGATTATTAGCAATAAACCTCGTGTTGGCACAATTAATTTATTCAGTTTATAATGGGAAATAATATCAAATACTGTTGAAGTCGCATAAACAGAATATTAAAACTAACCTTATCTTTCATTGCTAAAAATAGTCGACCTAGTCCAACCGACCAAGAACATTCAAAGAGGTTCTATGGAAATATAAAGAATGTAATAATTTGGACAAAATGGTATGTATAAAACAAATATTTATCATTGTTAAGATAAACTGAGTCCTGACGAAACAGAAATAAGACTAAAACCTTAGTGAACTAAAGATATTTATGACTAGAATTATGGATTCAAGGGTTTCATTATATGCATCTGCACAAAAAACAACTACCTAGAAAGCGAGAAATATCATCAGAAATAACAATCTATGGCAATCAACTTCATAAGATCAAATAGTTATTCATTATTAAGATACAGTATAGTCAAGGAACATTTCATGAGAATGTGAGAAAGATTGATTTAACGAGTGCAATAGACGTTCATGGAAAGTTATATTAAATATTTAATTCAAGATTATATGTAGGATGTCTAGAAAAGATTCGGAGCAAAATAGGTTAAAAGACTAAAGAAGTTCAGTAGGAATCATTTACGAAATAATAAAAGTTGAAGTACCTAATTTTATTAAGTGGTACACATCATATACATAATTCTTTAAACAATTTGTTTGACTACGATCAAGAGAATTATTATCACAGAAACTATTCACACTCAATGAATATATGTATGATCTTTTTTAAAAACGTTCTAAAAAGTATGTATATGAAGAACTAAAATAATAAATATTTTGCATGAAACATATTTCTTAATGTAAATAAAATTTAGTGTGATTTTGATGCTCAAGATTTACATGCAAAGTTAACCTTATTTGGTCAGGTAATCAATGAAAATATAAAGTTGTGCAGAAAACATACCATGTTAGTAGTTTCCTGTAGAGTTTCCCAGTCGCCTAAACGCCAAGCTGCTTCCGCTCGATGGGCGTTCAGACAATCTACCCAAACAGTTGAATTCCCGAAAGTATTCGAATGGGATTTTGATTTTCTCACAAGAGCACCTGCTCGTTCAACTAGACCATGTAATCGAGCTGGATCAGGAAGTTCACAACGAAACAGACCACTGTACATCAGTAAATGCTGGTTATCCCGAATTTCTTTAGAAGGCTGTTGACATTGTGAAGAACGGTAATTAGATTCAGAAGTAGCCAAGCTATGTTCGTAGGCAGCAGCAGCCATATCTAGCTGTCCTTCGTTTTCTAGTTCTAGAGCGCGAAGTAATGAAAAGCGTTGTGTTGTATCGCTTGACAATTCCATATTATTATTATTACATGATTTTGATTCATGTTGCTTCCCCTTATTAAATTCATGGCTAAAAGCAGTAAACGCTAACTGAGTAGCTGATAAGACACCTGCTAAACCTGAAATTTAACAAAGCATGAATAGAAGGTTACAGACGCATAGTTGAATGAAAAAAAAACTGATAGCTAGACAAATACATCTAGCTATTAACTACAACACCAAACTGAGCTATATATATGTGAAACGTTGATGTTCGAAACTAACCCGTTAAAATGATAAACAAGTAGAATTTGAACAACAAAAGAAACCTACTGATTCTTTAAAAAGAATAGAAAAGTTTCAGCAAAGAAATTTTTCTTTTCGATGATATCGTTTTCTTAAGCCGTACAATCGTATTGATAAGTTTTCATCACATTGAGTAATTCATAGTAAAACAGAAGTGTTATAAAATTATCAAAGATAATCGAATATAAAAGTCTATCCATATGGAGTGATGTTGTACAGTTTAATGGAGTCATCAGGGATTATCAAAAGATTTCAAATATTAAAATATGACAGTCTATAAATAGAAGGATGTTATTTCAAAGTAATTAAAGTCATCGAATGGATGTTGCATCGTTTAGCAAAGAAATAAAGAAAAACTATCAACAAATAAAGTTAATTAAGTCCCAGAAGTAATAGGAAACACAATTAGTACAATTAATACAAAAGACAACTGAATTATTATTTAAGATTGGCATCAATTCTGTCTTGAATATACAGTTAAGTGAAAACGATTAGTAGTTGACTAATGTTCACAAATACAACTGAACCAAGACAAACACACAAAATAAAAAGTAGTCCTAGATTTACAACGAAACGAATATACGGATAACTTTTTGGGACGAACAATTAAATAGTCGAACGGCTAGAGAAGAAAAATAGTGGATGGCATGAAAAATGTATGATTAGAATAAGATAACAGCATCAGTTAAAGCAAATCGGAATAAGCAATTACGCACTGATTATAAAGTCACTTGAACATTAGTGCTATAAGAGAAGCCAGAGAACGATGTCACGGATACACGGACTGACGAATCAACAAAGAGGAAAAGAATTAATACAAAGTTATAGGCGAATCATATCGGATCTCTTCACTAAAAATGGAGAAACTCGTTATAATTAGCATGCAAATAGTGCTTAGTACATAAGGATACTAAGAAACGAGCCAGAAGTATATAAGCATCGATTAACTCATAGAAAAACTAAGATAAATTGAATGCTTCTGAGAACTAGGACTTACTTAAAATTAAGAGTAGAATGATTTCTGGGACCTCAATAACAGACATGTTTTGAAAACACAGCTATGCTTAGTGTCACATGGACTAATTACATGCGAGCTAACAACATTAAACATAAAATGACTGGTAGGTTAGTTTATTAAAACGTAATACTGGCATAATATCATCAAAAATAGAGTTGAAATAATCTCTTACCATCTGAATCGTGTAGAGATGCATAAGTATCCAGTAAGCCAATGAGTATTGTGAAAACTGTTTTACGAAGTCCATTAGAGAATTGCAGAGTAGATTGTATATCAGATGACAAAATAGAATTCGTTCCAACGTGATCTGAAACTGTTTTCGTAAACCCAAGAGTATGATCAGTATTAGATCGACAAATAGCAGTGCCAGTGACAAACGCTGATTGTTGGGCTTCTGTATCCTCACCGTATGCTAACTCCCAATGTAACAATGCCCTAGCAAAGCTGCCACATCGTAGACTGGCTTTGGCTTGTAATAAATTAGGAATGTTTGAAAGAAATGAAGAAACACGTTCGACACCTAAAATGTGAAAAGTGATACACAACAAAATAGTAATATATCCAAACTGTGCAACATTTAAAATTAGGCACAACATTATACTCACCCTCCAACGGTGCTACAGCATGTTGAAGAATATTCACATCCTTAAGGACATTCTGAACAGCGCTGGCAGGTTTTACAGTCGACTTTGTTGCTTGATATTCCTGCTGAATCCTTAACCAATGCCTTAAATAATCCAATAAACTGAAAATTGTTTGAACAGACAATGGGAACCACGACTGCCACGGTCGATTACTTGCAGGATGAACCTTAGTTACCATTAAACAAAAATTAATAGAATTTAAGACTGAATAAACGGAGGTCACGAACAATGGCAAGCAATAAGGACAGTAAACGTTTTGTATGGTTAGGACAGTTTGAAACAGAAAACTATGAACCTCTTATTTGTAAGGGAGTCTTTCTAGTAAATATATACGGACACTTCGCTTGAGTAACAATAAGGGTGGACGATTATCGTTAATAAGCAAATCAGACAGTTTCATAAATTGCAGAACAAAGGGTTTGATTTGTAATCCAGGGGAAAACTTATGATATATTGTGTGCAGTACAAGTATATGGAGAATATAACAGTAGAGCACTCAACTACAGCTGTAAATTATAATATTTTATTTCTAAATATTGTTATCATTAAAAATGTTTGAAAACGATTAGCTATTCACACATTTGAGCAGCATTATTTTTCTTAAGCATAAACACACGGTATTTTTCGATTTATTATTCATCTGACGATCGGTTAATTATTATGCTATTTTAAAAAAAGAATATAATTTCCTGAAAAGTTTAAATTCTAAGAACAGCGATTTTTAAAATCTGTGATCCATGTAGTGTTTCCCAGTAGAACTTTTATTTCCGATAAATGAACTCTTTGCCGAGGTAAATATTTTAACGATATAAAAGTATACGAAAGTTAAACACATACTTTTATACCACTAATAGAAATTGGCTTAATTAAAAGAAATCAACATCTAAGTATGTAGGTGAGATGAAAGTTTCCCTAATTCCGGTTCATATTTATGCTGTTCGACCATACTTCGAATGTAACTAAAATTAGTTAAAAATGTGCGGAAATAATGAGTCACCTTAGTCACGGGTCAGTTGTCATATTTTGATATCCCTGCGACTCAGTGAGACACATGATAATAAAGGAGATCTTCACACTTGTTATTAATTTGTGTTGTTTACTGTAAGACAATCTTCCTTATAAAATCAAACTATATGGTAATTTTACTTATATTTACTTCAGTCATTTGAAGTGAGATAATGAAATGACGATAACTTTAAATATTCAAGCTAACTATTACACTGATTATTAATTGTCTTATTTGTACATGTAATCTTATATACTAATACACAATATCACTAAACTTTTCTAGAATAAATGAACAATACTAAATAATATGGAAATTAATTAACAAAACTAAATTCATCAGGCAAAACAGTAATTTATAAGATGAATTAACTAGGCGTGAAGGGATACATTCTAACAAATTTCTTTTTTACGTATAATCGCTAGCTGAGTATTGACCTTAGTAAGTAGCAATGCACAATATATTGTCGCTTCAAAAGTTGTAAGTAATTAAATGGAATATTAAAAATAATTTGAAATTTTAATAGCGTACTTCCTGAAGATCGACATTTTTTAAAAGATAGTCAAATTCAACATGACTTCCATTCTCATGAATCGATTCAGTTACTTCTGTGAGAACAGCTAAAATTTCAGAATTTAGCTAGAAAGTAAAAGAGCACAATGAGATCTTTCAATATAAAATTTATTTATTCTTTTTTTTAATAAAAAAAGCAGATACCTTCAAAATATGAGAAAAAATTATCCACCTGCATACTTATAGCCAGACCACGGAACACATTGCATCGTGATTTGTAAGATACGTATAGTAGAGTGAAGTGTTAAGATTTTCCTTAATGTCTACAGTTTAAAATTCCTAACTATTATGAATCAAAGTATGATATGTTTTTTAACCACCTACTAGTTTACACTAGGAGACAATCCAATTTCGTAATACAAATGAATATTTATTAGAAATTTCAAACCATAATTGTATGTTTTTGGTTACAAGCGTATTTAGTTGCATGAGTTTTAATACCGAACACAGAAATTTAACGAACAATCCGGTAGAAATGTGCATAAGTCCAAGCAACCAACAGACAGAAAATAAATTGACAACAAGAATACATAATTAGAAATAATTATATTAACACGAGTATAGAACTAAACGGAAAAAAGTAGAAAAATGGGAATAAAATATGACTGATAAATTAAAAAGTATGAGATAGCTACATTCAAAACATTAAAAAACAAAGAATAAATACATTTGAGTCAGTGCTATCATAGTTTAACATAATTATTTAATTCTTCCAATGGCTTATTATGACAATTTCACAAACTATAACAAAGAAGTGTGATTCTATCAAAAGGAAGGGTATGAATAGTTAATGACTAAAAAAATTGCCATTATTTACGTCCTAATGTAACCCAGCCTTCTTTGACAAGCTAACCAGAGTAGAACATTGAAGTAAATAATGACTGTCACATATGTAAAGTATGTTTTGAACACTTAATTAGATCAGGGTTAAGGACTTCAACCGATTAACTGCTTTCTTCACTTACGTAGAGTCTTATTTCTAACACTAACAAAGTTCACTCTTTCGCTACGGTTAGCCCGGTTTATAGCGACTTTGGCTTGTTTATTTATAACTATATTTTATTTTGTTTTGTGGTGTAAGGTGGTCCAGTATGTCTGTTTATAAACCCAAGTGTGCTTGAAATAAATAGCAATAAACATAGAAGCTTAACTGAATATTTCTCTTTGATCTCAAAGCTGGGTATACATAAAACATCGTGCATGAGTGACCAATGGGAATGTAGCTTGCATTAACTCAAGGTCAACTGTGCCGACCAGAATGTATTTTTCCTCAAAGAAAAAAAATACAAGACTATAACTGGAATAGCAGATGTGGATGATAAGGATTATCATCAGAAATTCTGACTGATGAATTCAGCACGTCTCAAAACATAACAAGAACCCATTTCATATACTCATAATGTCACTCAACGTTTAGTTCATCGCGTATTCGTAAAAGCAGAATTTGCGAAAAGCAACAGAAAAATCCTCTCGGCAGCTAACGAAGAACATATCCATGACATATTGGATGGATGATTTCATCAATGATTTATAAAGTAGAAAAGAAAGTTTCAAATGAATAAAATATTGTGAAATAATTTAGCTTCAAAACAAATAGACTACTACTGTTTTAGGGTTCTTATCACATAAAAATTAAGATAATTTAAAGTTTAAGCCTTGTTTCAGCACGATACGGAAACAATATTAGTGATCTATTATTTAAACACAAAAGTATTGGTACACCATAATATCCTTGCGACACACAAATAACTGAATTTGTGTTTGGGCTGAGATATTGTCTGGTCGATCAAACCGAAGCAGGTGTTTTTCATAGGAAGTCACTCCCAAGGCTTTGACATGAAGGTCTAATCCACACTGCAGCGGAGCAACGTTAGGAGATGCAGTCCCATGTTAGCCAGTGACTAACAACAGGTTCATACGCCATTTATTCTTTCAGGATCCTGGAGCCCATGTGCACAACTGGTTTTTCAACGTTTCTAGGTGGACCCTCCGTACCGACCAACCTGGTTTAAGAGCCAGGCATTTCTTGTCCTCTCCACCACCTTTAGAATGCAGTGAGGAGGAGTTATAATAGTGATAAAAATCTACGAGCATGTCAAACATGTACGTAATCACTTACTGCAGATATTCCATTTTGTGAATCATCTATTAAGACTTGTAAGGCAGAATGTTCTAGCATTAATCTAGCAAATGTTGCATCCGCTTTTACAACAGGTTCACAAAATTGGAAAATATTAAAAACGACAGGAGATTTGATCTAGAAAAAAAGTGAAATAAGACGAAAAATGCTTTGAACGGTAAATAAATTTACAAAAGATTCGTGACAAGAAATTATCATGAAGATGAATAAAATTCCAGAGGAAATATGAAAACAATAAAATCAAACTAAAGCTTACGTGACTGCTCAAAGAACCAGACCATAGACGTATCCATGATTCGTAGGTTAGATCAACTTCATTTGTAATTATTGGTATACGTATAGCTGACCAGTTGATAAACGATTCTACAGAATATCTGAAAATAATAATAATACTCAAAGTGCACATAATTGAAATCAGTGAAACGTTTTCCAGAAACATATAAATAAAAAAGAAAATACCTTTCAAAGCGAATATGATAACACCCGTAAACAGTAGTAGTAAGAAATCACTAGCACATTAAGTAAAGATTTAATGCAGTAAAATCTGTTCATATTAAAGTTTGCAAAGGATTTATGCTCATCAGCGAATTTAAGGCTGAATAAATGCCATAAGTACAATACAAAAATTACAACAATTGTACAAATAAAAAGGTAGAAACACAGAAAATAAGCATAGTTACCGGAAAAAAGAATAATAAGTAGAATTAGTAAATAAAAACCAAAAATTTAGTATATGAATAAATGGTAATCGTTAGTTATTTATGAATCGCCCTTATGAGATCAACTCTTCAATGCTTAGTGGTATATTCGTGAAAATTAGAATTTAGCTAAGTTCTGAATACCTCATACATGTCGAGGTTTGAATTCAGTTTATCAATGGTATTTATCATATTTCAAAACAGATAATGAATGTAAAAACTATAACAACCAAGTTAAATTCCAAAATATGCAAAGTTCGAAGTATACTGACGTTTAATGGATCTAATATTTGTCACCACGTAAATAACAACTTAGATCCGATCTATTGATTGTGTAGTTTTTCTACGCACTTTTAATATACTATACAAGTAATCAAAAACGTTTTGATAGCTGTAAATTAACTAAAGCAACTGTTAAAAAATACATATAATACATAAAACTAAACATAAAAGACACACTAATAACTGCGACAGCAGGGGACGGAAATAACTGAGAGTAGCAGCATCTTACGATAAATACCAATTTGGATAGATAAGGAAAATTAATGAAAGGGTAATACAGTGTTGATTGATTTAAACCCTATATAAGTTTGATATGTAATAGTAACATAATTAGTTTATGCAAAAATTTAGGTTAAATAATAGAACTTTTGCAGAAAATTAGTACAATAAATGGGGAATCAAAGCACAAATAGTTTATAAGAAAGATCCTGGAATCAAGAGTGACCAGAGATTACTCAAAACTCACACTTCACCGGTCTAAAATTAATACCATCTGTGTCACTTTTCCGTTATAAAGATTTTTCAATGAATCATGTCACTGGACAGACACTGGATATTTACATACCGAGTCACAAAAAACCTTTTAAAAACTACTCACTTACCTAGAAGTAAGAAGTGGAGCAAAAAGGTCACGTAAATGTTCAGGGAACAAATTCCATAATTCGGAACCCCAAAAAAATGAGTTGAGTGAATTATCCGCAGGATCTTGTGTTGTTAAAGACGACGAATTGTTTGATTTTCCAACGTCTGGTACTTTGAATAACTTTAACAACTCCTGAACAGCTAAAGCTGCTGAATCCTAGAAATAAGATATGTCCGACACATCATTGTGGGGCAAGAACAGATAGAAAAGTTACTTTACTCATCTATAAAAAGTAATATTTGCCAGGAAAATTCGAAAATTTACCTGTGACTAAGTAATTCGTGTTCCTGTGTCCCTAATGTACAATGGGTGAATTGTTTCATACATTAATGATTTAAACACAAATTATTGTGAATTTAAAGAATTAGTAAATTTGGGCATTTTACAACTATAGTTTCATAATATTATACATATAAGGTACTTACTAATTGTCTGGGACTAGCAGCACGTAAATATATTTTTGCTAATTCACATAAAATATGAAACGGAAAACGACGATCATTTACAAATATGACCGATTCTTTTTCGATCTGACCAGTTTTTACTTCTCCATTAGATAAATATAGCCTGATACAATAATGTAAACAAAGTGAGAAGTGCAGTTTGATGAACAATAATAAATAATTGAATAGAACTTCGGTAGATGATTTTAATTAAATTGGTAATATAAGTAATAATTAAAACTGATATATAATTCGCCCTATTCACTTTACACATGTAAATGCCTGAGTGAATTGATAAACTGGTGTGTTAAGGTTAAAATTTTAGGAATGAGATTTACATCGATTTACGTCTACTGGTTGAAAAGACAATGCTAAACTACGGATGGTAATATCAGACACATAATTATTGTGAACAAGAATTCGATAGTAAATTATAAAAGTTCATTTGATTTCAATTGTTAAATCGTTCAATTATCCGATGATTTCCCCTTCCTTTATTGTTCATATAATGCTGCTAATCTTTTATACTCCAGGTGCCTATATTTAGTTAGGTTTGCAATTAAACAAATAGGCTTTGTTGACCATTACAAATACTAACTACTTACTTACACCCATTAACCCTCGTGGGGGAGCATAGGTCACCCCGACCCTCCTCCATCGAACTCCGACCTGGAAAATCCTTTCCGGCTGCTATTCTTCAATTTGTTGTCTGCTTCCAATTCTCAACGCGATGTATCATTTGGCCTTCCACATTTCTGTTTCTCTTCAAGATTCTAAGTTACTGCTTACCTCGTGATGCAGCAAGATGACTTCCACAATGTATATCCTATCCATCTTCAAACACGTTTGCTAATTTCCACTTCAGTTGGAGGTTGGTTTGTTCTCTTTCACAGTAGAACATTGTTAATGATATCGGGTCAACGGACATTGAGTATAATGGGTAAACAATTAAATATAAATAAAATAATATATTTATAATATTCCGATGAGTAGAAAAATTAGATTTTCTTGCGTTTCGTTACTCAGTGTAAGACACTTCTTCAGAGAATATGTAACTACATCAAAATTAATCCAAGTTTAAATAATACAAAGGATCAAATAAATAACCTTGACCGGAATGACATGACACTGACTCGGTCAAATATGTTTCTGACTGATCACACCTAATATTCTTGCTTTGTTCCTTTGTATAATTTAAATGGGTTAATTTAATTTGGTTATTTATTCCCTGAAGTGGCTTACACTGAGTCACGAAACGTAAGACAATCTAATTTTTCAAGTCATTGGGATATTACAAATATATTATTTTATTCATAACGATCCACTCAATGCTCAATTTATTCGAAATTAACAAATCAAACCTTGTTGATGATAGCTACAAGCAATTACTCATATTGATGATTATAATTTTGATGTTGGTTATCGGGGATAGCACAATTTCTTCCTCTACTTATTGTTAACGTTAAACACATACCACTTGTCTGTTATTTTCGCAAAAAGACATTTTATCAAATAAATGTGCTATCTTCTACAAGGGGGTGTATGGGATAAGAGGGTCAAGTCAACTGCAAAGTCCGAATCGACTATCTGCATCCAAGCTGTCCATTGTACTCCATGCTTTCCCTCAGATGTCGAGGTCTACATAATTCAGTCAACCACCAGAAGAAAGAGGAAGAGGGAGAGTAAGCAGTCTTGCCTGATTCCGGTTGTCAATTGGAATGCACATATCAGCTGTCCCTCGTGCACCACTTTGCAGTGTAGTCCGTTGTATGAATTCCAGATGATGCTGACGATCTCAAGTACAATATGGTGTCGAAGAAGTTCCCATAACGTTCTCCTATCCGCATTGACAATTACTTTCTCATAGTCAAGGAAGTTGATATGATTGATCCGGTTCTCTGTACTGTGATCCAGTCAGACCCATATAACTTTGTGTATGCATTTAGGGGAGAATATTGTGCCGCCTATAACCATGTTGTTGAATGCACATAAATTTGCAAATCTCTCACCACTCTCGTTTTTTTCTCCCAGTTAGTTTATGTCGTTCCACGGTAGCTTCATACCCGGTGCTGTTCATTCCGACTTTGGTGTTCAGGTCTCCCATCAGGATGGTCATCATAATCCCCTCCGTTTTTTAAAGATACCTCGATGATTCTGGATCTATGGAAATCCCATCCTATAAGTGCTCTTCGTGCTTCTTCGAACATCATCAGCGCAACACAATGATTAGGTGGAACATTTTCCTCCTCGTCACCAGAGTACAATAGTATCTATCCTGAATCTGATCTTTCCTGTACAGCTAGGGTCCTATGCGTTTCGCCGATTCCGAGAACCGACAAGTTGTATCTCTTCATCTCCGTAGCTATTTGATTGGTCCTTCCAGTTTCCCACATTGTCCGAAAATCTGATGTGCCTATATTGATTGTTGCTCTGGTTGTTAGAAGGGTCATCGGTCTTATGACTTCCGAAGAATTTGGGCATTCATCCTGAGGCGTCATAATTGTTCCTTCAACTCGTATGGAAGAGTTTAAATGATTTGATTTGTTTATGCCGGTTAGCGTCTTTTAAGCAAGGTTGTTTTCTACGTTATGGTGTCTCTGACCCCATCTACAACCCTCCTCCTTAACCCGGGCTTAGGGGCGACAGTGACCCGATGTTAAGTAGTATTAACTAATCTAGTTTTATCGTCATTCTATATTAGCATAATTATTAACTTCAGAAAACAAGTAATTTTTAGGCAAACATTAATGAGGTAAAAGTATCTGGAAAGTCGCTGAGAGAAGAGCTATATAGAAGTTAGATCATTTGACCATAAAAGGAAGATATTATATACCTTTCGCTTGCGTAATTATAAATACCTTACGTTGAGCACATTTGAATTTTAAGGGATCGAGGATCAAAAGTCGGACGACAAGTTATTCATTTTATGTTTATAACAGTTGAGCGAATACATTTAGAAGTAAAATGAGATTTTGTTAGCACAAAAGATAAACTAAATCGAATTAATACTGTATTAGAGATGCATATATACACATGTTACGACTGTAAGAAATTCCATTTGTGCTTTGAAAGAATAAAAAACTTAGTCGATACCGAGACTGAAAAAAAAAAGAAAATGTTTATAGTGAAATAAATTAAATGTTCACTGGTCACAGAAGGTCCTATTAAAACTGAAAAAAAAAAACTGAGTTGATATTTCAGAGAAGATTAATGTAGGAGAAGGAAATCTAACAAATAATCCATAGTAAACAAATACAGCAGTTAGTGACTCAGTAAGGATATCTGAAGCAAAAAAGTATGAATTCACAACATACTTGCAAGGATCAACAGCCCCCAGGTTCCCAAGCCACTGTGCGTATAACAATCTCATTTTCTCATCAGTGTCTCTAGCAAGACCCTCCAGTAATGAAGCCACAATATCAGCCAACAACATCGTATTTCCACGAAACGAAATCCCGCTTGCAGAATCCACAGAGTGTGTCGTATCTGAAGACATGCTTCGGATCTCACCTCCTTTTGCTGAAGAAATCGAACGATCAAACAAACTTGGCAAACCCCAAAGTCGAGATTGTAGAATCTTGCCGTGTTGATCATTTGCTCCCAAATTTACTTCTGACGTCAAGGTAAGTCTTCGTACAGACCTACTAGAATGTGTTAGAGCTGATAACCATGCTGTAAGAGGCTGATGGAATTCCGCTTCTGTAGGGTCCACACCATTTATGAAACACGTTACACGCCTAGGGTAAAACAAAGTATAAGGTAGTTAAAAATCTAGGTGTGTATTATATACTCGTAGGAGATCCGATATTTACATATAGCATATTGGATCTTCGAAGAAATAGTTTCCTTTATTATCATGAGGAGAATAAGTATAAAGACTTTAACAAGAATAACATGAATTCATTTTATATTGTTCGTTTCACGTCAAATGCTTATAATTTATACGAGTGCAGTTGGTTAAAAGTGAATGTGTATTACCACGGTGGAGCGAATATTTCAATCAAGTTAATGAACAAAGTCCAGTTTATTACTTAATTTTAATCATTAACTTTGTTAAAATTTTCGCTCCACCGTGATAATACACATTCACTTCTAACCAACTTTACTCCTATACATTATACACATTTGACGCGAATTGAACAAAATAAAATGAATTCATGTCATCCTGCTAAAATCTGTGACTTAATGAAATATATAACCAATAACTTACCATGGACATAAATCATCCAGAATTTGTTGACATGTCAGTAGAGCAGGTAGTCGAGGTAAAAAGAATAAACATGATAATCGATCTCCGATTTGTTCTCTGAAGTTTGAAATAATTTTCGGTAAAAAAAAATCACATTTTCATATTTTATTAAAAACAGTAAACTAGCACATGCAAATGAAAATCGGTTTTATGTGACGAAGTCTACTATTTCTTGTATTGCACATAACAAATACATTATAATCTCAAACATAGTGATCTCGAGTTTAAAATTGTTTTCTTTTTTCGTTATCGAACATCCGTTAACACTAAAATTGATATCAATACCCTTAATTTCTTCTTCGTTGTGAAGATCGTAAAAATTTGACTAATATATAACAGGACTCTAGATTGTACATTATTTATACATATCAATCGAGTATTTTTGTTCATAATTAGACTAAACGAAGTATTATTTAATCTACAGGTCATCAAATTCTTGAATGATAGTTGGATCTGTTTTGCAAATTATTTAATGCTTGAATTCACATTTTATGGGAAACAACTTTGTATGAATTAAAATGCATAATCTGAATAAAGCCATAACAACCATCAGGGCAAAATAATATGAATTTATTTAAGCTTTAATAGTATCATTCAAATTCATAAAGGGAACTAATTGTGTACGACACAACCTTGGAAATATTTACGGACTGATAGAGAAAGAGTAAAAAGAGCACTGGATTTTCAGACATCCTTATCTTTACAGTTGATATTGGCGACTCCAAAACACTCCGAATTCTATACTAAAGGGGTAGGTATTAAAAGGTATACAAGAAATATTACATAAAAGAGTATTCGGAATAACAGAAACTCAACGCAATACAGCAAATAATAGAATGTTTATAGGGAATATTTTTTCAAATTATTGCGGTTCAAAAGATATATGAAGGATTGTAAGAAGTATTAACACGAACAACTAACGAAATACAGTGATATACAGAAGAGTTGTACCTTCTTTCATAAGATGGTATTATGTGTAAACCACGAGTTACCAACTCCGGTTACGGTAAAAATTGCAGGTCGAAGTCGAGCAAACTATTTTGTATTTGGGTACTGAATTATGTTATTTATTTAATGATGTTAGACTAGTGAGCACTACGTTTCAAACCCAAAATAATTTTCCCTATTTTCATTAAGAACTCCCCTATAAAATCTACAAATAACTTAAAATATCTTTATGATTTCAGGTTGAAAAACTGAAATGTACTTGGTTAACTTTTCTAAAAATAGATAAACTTACACGACTTACAGTTCAATGAAGCAGTATGTAACTGTAAATTAAGTCGTTAATTCAGAGAACAATAATTATAAGTATTAGTGAATTAAGCTTTCAAATTTCAAAAATATGTTTGACTAACCTTTTTTCTAGAAATAGATAATGAAATAAATCTATTACTTGATCAGGATCACTGTAAAAGAGCCCAACAAGAGTAGCACCTAAATCAGGAAGCAATTCTTCTAATGATTCTGGTTCTAACCTAAAAAGGAGACATATGTATAACACATTGAAGGAGCTGGTCAGGGGCTGTGGAATGGTCACAATGTTGAATTAAATCTGTGAATAAGTAAGAAATTATGAAATAAATGGATGGAATTTTATTCAACTTATGGTAGGACTTACATGCGTATAAAGCTACGCCATGCTTTTACAACAACTTTTCCAAACGGTGATGTGTTATAACGCATGCATATTCTAAAGGAAGAAGAAATATTCCACAATAATAATAATAATAATAATAATAATAATAATAATAATAATAAATAACAATAATAATAATAGTAAATAATAACAATAATAATAATAATAATAATAATAATAACAATAATAATAATAATAATAGAAACAATTAATCAGTATATAATGAATAGCTTAATTATACAACAGTTATAATCACAACACATACTTATTTAGAAGAAATAATTTTTTCAAGAACGTTTATTTTATTTAAAACAGTTTGTTTGTCATGAGCATTATGAAAATAAGTTGTGCTTACATTACCAATAAAATGTTCTGATAAGAATACGAAAAGTCAGAGGACTGGTATTACATATTTCATAATTTAGAATATGGAGAAAAATACCACCGTTAACATGTTAATAACTTTATGACATTCATTTCACATAAAGAGAATTAAGAACAATCATTTTAAACAAGTCCAAAGCCCGTTTACTAGACAAACTATCGCTTTATCAAACTACAGTATTTGAATTAAAATTAGTTTACCTGAGGAGGTAAATACATAGGAAAATATAGGTTGTAAAGTAAAATAAATTTAAAATCATGGATTTACAGTAGTTTTAACGCTGATTAAATATTGAAAGTGAACAATCACGTTTTATTGTAATTTATAAACCTTTTACCTACTAAAACGCAAATTAAACTCAACTAAAATCACAATTAAAAACGAGATCAACCAAAGAGAGTTAATGTTTATGTATAACTTACTTCAGATTAGCCAAAAATTTCGCTCGCATACGAGTAACATGATTTGAACCAAGAAGTTTTATGAACACAACTAAACTTCGTAAGGCTGACCAACGATGTTCAAGTATAACATCATCATTTAACAGCATATTATCAAAAAATGCCAATATCCCACAGACATAGTGTCCTAGAAAATCAGCCTATGGGAAATACAAAAGTTCAAAATGCAAATCAGTTATGATACCAGTTAACTGAAATATGAATTAACATATAAATCTGAACTACCTGAGTAATCATACGCGAAAAATGAATTTAACTAAGAAAGATCTCAGTATGACTTTTTTGTAACTAACTAAATTTTACTGGAATGAAGTAGTGAATCACCCTACAAACATTAACTATATTACACGAAAATTTCGAGGAGCACTAATAACGTGATTATCAACAATGACTATAAGCGGTTACATAATTGGAATATTTTAAACGCGTCTCACGGTCATGTAGATCAAACATTAAAAGTGAGATTATAATTATCAAAACTATAGCTAATTTATTAATGACACTTAAATTAAAACAGATAGCATTATCAAACATAATTTAGACAATGGATATTTGTTAAACTTTAGCTTGAATTGAATCATTAGTACACGACGAATGAAAATTTTAGTTTAACTGACCTGACTACATGTCAAAAACCTGACTCAACGAAATAAAAATCACGCCAATGTGTTAGAGGTTTAATACTACTTGTGTGAAGTCTGAATCGTATATTACGTATGTAAATACGAATTCCGATGTACCGAGTATCTTGTTGGATGAAAAGCTGAATATTTATACATCAAAAGCACAGGATCCTATGAGATAGAATCTGTTTTTTAAAACTAACTTCCATACAACAAATACCAACAATAATTTTGTGCAACAATCGTCATAACAATGATATCTAGGTATTTGAATATAAAACATGTTATGTTTACATGATAGATCATTAGAGATACACAATCACGAACAAAATGCTAAACTATAAATAGTTAAATTTACCAGAACAAAGTTCCTCCCACTAACTAGTGTACGATTAATTTGTGTCCCACACTGTGGAAGAATAATTGAAGAGATCCATCGTAGTCCCAAGCAAGCCCCAACACGATAAGGATAAAGTCGAAGGATAAACTGATGCATAAGACGGGAAATATCATTCAGACGGGCTATTCGTTCGATTGACATATTAAGATGAGCCTGAACGAAAATAATACATGTAAACCAGATTTTAACTAATAAAGGTTCCACAAGATTTCATATCTTGGTAATATCAATGAATGGTTACTAGTTTCCCTCTACATGTAGGTAGGTCTTTTGCATTAAATATTACTTTATGAGTAAAAAGCCGTCAAAACGGGGCTAAAACATTCATGTTTTGTCATATGTACATATGAAAAAACATGAATGTTTTATATGAATAAGAATTTAAACAAGATGCTAAATATCAGATAGGTAACTTATGTGTTAGACATTTAACGAGAACTTCAAAAAAAACGAACACTGTTTAATCCACAGTTAGATTAGAGATACAGACGCTATTATTGGATTCCACAGAAATCTAGGATAGACAAAGAAAGTGTGTAGTTATAAGTCAACTCATGAGAAGCGTTTCCCTATTTTATTTAAAACGCGAAGGATACCTCGATGGTTTAATATTGATCTCTGAATTTGTTTTTTTTTACCCGGTTAACAGAAACTAATCCTCACTCTTATTCAAGCAAACTTTTACCAGAAAAAGAGTAGTCGAGTTTTAGCTTAGTGGTTACAACATTCGGTCTTCAACCAGTAGGTCGCTCATACAAATCCTGTCTAATCTGGTTTAGTCAGTTGATAAGTACCATTCAAGGGCGAGTATATGAACGTTTACTTGGTGAGTTAACTTTCCAACATATTATGGAGAACAAATATAAAATCTATATACAATGGACCCAATAATTCATGAAATAAATAATTATGTTTACATTTGTCTCTAAAATGTAGGTTAATTCACTGAAATCTAAGTAGTAATCAAGAAAGTAACATAGGGACAAAAATGTGCTAGTTATACAAGACAAGAAAGTTTGCTTACTTCGAGAAAGGCTAAATGGACCGCTTGATCATCTTTTGACGTACGAGTGAAAATGTACACCAAAGTTTCCGGTAGAATACATAGCTGAACGATTTTACCAATATAATCCTACAGTGAAGAAAATGTAATCGAAATGAATAATTTAAACTAGAGTTTTATCCATTCGATTGAAATCTTCATAGACATTAGTTGATTAAAGATTTACACGTAAACATAGAAAGACTTCCTAGTAACTCTTCTCGAATTAACTTTTACGACAAAATATCTTTAGAAAATAGTAATATATTTGAAAAATATAACACATTTGGAGGTATGTATAAACCTATAGTGATATCTTTCAAAATATCATAACTGAAGTGATGATCACCACTTAAAAAATGAGGGATCTTTATACATTGAATAAAGATATTAATTCATGATCAATGACTCATCTAAAAGCCGTTTAACGGGCTCATTTAAATTACTGATAATAACAGACAGAACGATATGTACACATTAAACGTCAATAAGGTTACTGAAATGGACGAAAACGACGTAAATATGTTCCTGACAGTATGAATGAGTTCCCATTTTTTTCTTATCCACAGCTTTCAAATACTTAATTCCGACGATGTTGTGTTTCACAAAAAAACGTAACATGAAACCAAGTTTTAGTAACCTCGTTTATTAAAGCTGTACTCCTGGAGAACACAATGCTGGGTGGTAATGAAAGCAAAAATTTAGGGTTTCGCTCCTACAACGCTTTTACAAAGGTACACAGGACATGTAAATAAAAACAATGTACCCAATGAAATTTATTGAAGAACGTAGTCTAATTTATTTTATTAACAATATGAATGATATGTTACTGTCTTCTTAACAGTTTGAAAATAATTACTTTTCAATGCTGAATTAACAATATATAGTTGAATTTCAAAAATTTTGTGATAATTGATAGAGAGAATGAACGACAGAATACTACAACTCGGATATATGCCAACCTTTTAAATGATATCACAAGGCAATGGTACCATACAATAAAGTTCAGTTAATTACCTATATACAATATCGTTATATCATCCTAAAACAAACGATAAAACACAAAATACTCTAATAACTAGGCTCGGACACGTTTGATAATATGGAGAAAATGTTTTAACATACGAAACGTCTAAAAACATACTTGTTGATTATCTAGGTAGGGTACTTCTGAAATAAGTTGTCTAATCCGTAAATGGCTCTCTTGATTCCCACGTATTACCAAGGTGATAAATAAAGCTGCGATGAGTTCCTATAAAAAGAAACCAAGATGAATGTATGGAGAATAATACAGTAGTCAACAACAAAAGATGGTTAACATCAGTTCCAAATATTACTTAGAACCAGAACCATACACTTGGAATGTATCTATCTCTTCCACAGAACCAAAACTGGTAAAACGAACAAAGTATAAAGATAGGATTAAGTGCTGTGTTCAAGTAAGTAGGTAGAGAGACTAACTGAACAGCTCGACAGCAAAATAACTGGGAACATGATAGACAGAAAAAATTTGCCAACAAAACCTTACTTTGAATAAAATCTTTTTGTCAATCCGAAAAAGTCTTGAAAGGCTCTCCATTGCTTGGCATAAAGACTGGTCCATGTGTGCAACTATAATCTAAAACAAAAATTTTATTATAATAAATTGAAGGACAGAACGAAACAAAGATGTATCGTTATACGCTAAAATATAAGTTTTGAAAACCGTCGAGTTTGAAGATCTCAACAAAATAATTTGGAAATAACAAGACAATCCAATGTAAAGAACACTCATAATTGAGTGTAAATATGAGATATTAGGTTTAATTTTTAGAGAGACTTAAAGTAAAAACTATAAAAAATGATAGTATTAAATGGTCAATATTGATATTACGTGTGAATTTTCTAACAAACATTTAATCAGTCAATGTAATTCTGCACTTCTGTTGACTATTGTGATCGTGTTATACTGAGTAAACTTGGTGTTTTCAATTTAGGTATAAACTGTAAGACAAACTTTTAGTAGGAGAAAAAGGTTAAAATCTTTCCTTTTTCCCACTATTTGCTGTTTGACAGTTTTGTTATCAATATTATTAATAATTTATATACATCCATATAATTAAGTCATCTCACCTAGTATCTCTTATACTTATCACCAATACACCCTTCTTTTATTTTAAACAAAATTGTAAAAACCTGAGTCCTGTAAATTTATTTTATATTAATGTAAACTATCCACACTGTATACAATGGATACATACATCATTAACCATCTTATATTTAAAAGAATGGTGGCAGGAATAAATATGACAAAAGAATAATAAAGTAACGCATTTTAGTTACTGTAGTACAGTTCATTCAAGAATTATAAGGTTTTATCACGCATTTAACGTTTTTTTAACAATAATATTTGCATATATATTCAAACATGATAAACACATAAAAATGATACCCAACCTGTGCTAACTGGTGATCACTAAGACGGATTACTTGAGCAGATGGTAGATGAAGTAGTAATATAAGTTCTTGAATCTGCAATTAAAATAAGTAATCAATGACTTTCTCATGCAAAAGATATATAGTTGATAAACTGATACACACGAACAGTTAACTCATAAGTAGTGGTAAAGTTAAGGGTTCTTATGTTACACATACACATTACATATGCCAATCCATTTCGGGAATCCAAAATGATCAGGGATCCAACGGTGATTGCAAGAGTTCAGAAAGACATAGACTGTTGATTCGAATCAGGTGAAGAAAAAAGGTATTTCTAGAGTCCCCACAATTACAAATATTGGTGATTTGAAGCTTCAAAAGGACTGATCGGTAAGTTATCCAACTAGATTTCACCTAACATCTTGAATCTATAACTACTTGTCTGGAGTCTTTTTATTTTAGATCCCTGTTTCTGTATTTTACCGTACAACAGAATCTCAAAACTAAAGGTGAACTAACCAGTTAAGTAATAAGTATAATGATATTGAAAAATACACCATTAAAGGCAACATAGAATAAAGATAAAACCACAGTTTGCATGGAAAACAAATTTACAATTTCAAAGGTGATGAAAACTGGTAGACAAAAAACATGAAAGAATAAGGAAATATAATCCATCAACCTTATAATCAATCCGGGTTGATTGCTAAAACTGTTATGACAAAAAGCAAACGAATTTAGTTTGCAAAAAATAGATGGGAAATCACCTTTTTTTATCACAATTTACTCCTACTTCCTTCCCAAAGTGAATATTAGATTACAACCTAAACTATAACTTGTGAGTTGTATACAAGACTATTCTATATTCAGTGAAAATAGTACATTGTTAGAAGATTTAATGAACAATCCAAACACAATGTAAATGAGATATAATCTGAATCATACAATATCTAATTTTTATCCCGTAAAAATGTTAGCATTCTACAAAGAGTAACATTGATTTTATTTTTTGAGTTATGTTATAATTGAAAGTATCAGACACTATATTCTCGCCAACCAACACAATAAACCTGTTTTAAGATCGAATAGTATTGTTCATCTAACACAAGTATATTTTTTAGTCAGATTGATTTATGAGGACTTAGCACCTTTATATGGTGCGTTTCCATAAGCATATAGACTAATCTTCTCGTATATCGAATGAAAAGAACGTCCAAATGACGACACGTAAATATTATTAAAAGTGAATCCCTTGATATACTTCTAACAACAGCCAAATACAATTATGAATTATACTTTTAAGAAATTGTAAAATTTAGGTAGATAAAAGATTTATAGTATCATAAGTAAACTGCTGGTTTGAAAAAGAAACCTATTATCTAACCTGTGTATAAATTGTACCAAAAAGTCCATGGGAATATTGATGCACTAAACCCAATCGACATAAAATCGATAGAATAGCGACAACTAAATCAATCACTTGAGTGGATGTAACACATGATGAACCATTAATTGCAAGTGTTTCACTAGACATACGTCCACAGAAAAATTCATAGTTATTCATCTGTAATTTTTGATTAAACATAAAATCAGCATAACAACTGGCTAGACAACATCCTAAAGCACCATATATCATGATATGATATTCAACTGTTGTAGCGATAGATATATCAGTTGACTTTTCATTGGACTGATTGTTTAACAATTCCATAATAGATTTATGCATACTTATCCATGAATTTAAATTTGTTTTCGACAAATTATTTGATGTATCACTAAAAATCTTACTACATACAGCAGAGAAGTTAGAAAAGAAAGAAGAAAAACGGGACAAGAAATATAGCATTGCACCCTTTACCAACTTAATAAATCTTTTGAAACCTTAAGTTATGTAAACACTAGATTGGCATTACACTTTAAACGTTACAATGTGTTACATTTTATTTTACAGCTTTAGAATTCAACAAATTGTTTTTCCTAAACTGGGGTCAGTATACCCAATAACTAGATGCTTTTAGGGATTCATGGAATAAAATGAAGAGAATGATCGTTTTTTCGTAACGCTCAATGTTAAACCATTACGCTTGTGATGATATCCACAAGACTGAAAATGGGTTGGAGTCAGTCAGTAGAATGTACAACCAAACACATGTGTGCACCTGTTTAGGTTGCCGAACCATATTTGCAAATCGATATGAAAATGTTAAGATAAATATCGGAGTAATACAAGTAACAACAGTTTCAGTAGCAACAGAAAAGATTATGTGTAAAATACATAATTCGGTAACAAGAAATGTATTAGTCAAATAGAAAAAATCAAAATAATTTTTGAACTCAAGATCTGGAGGAGGATAAACAGTGGACACAATTGTGCACAGTGACTGATTCAGAGCAATGTAATCCGACGTCTCTAAACACTGGTTACGATACTCCCTCGAACCCCAACCAGGTAGTCTACACTTTATAACATGACTCAGACCAACAGTCACAGATTTAATGGATTGACTCACGGTTTTTTTTGGTCGCTCCTAACTCTTCCAGCCTACTCTCACATCAGACAACATCGTTGGTAGTTGGGCATAAGTGATACATATTCCAACCATCTCAGTTGATGAAGATTTACTACCTCATCAATCGATTTGCCATCATTACCAAGTATACTATTCATTCCTTAATCGGTAGTCACGAAATACAAGATTAATTCTTAGAAGATACCCATAATCGAATACTAGTTACCTTAGAATATCATATATTTTTAATGTCCGTGGTTTAAACCCCGAAAAAGAATGCAATGAACGGCTGCACAGTAAAATCGCCTTTTGGATGGCTGACGGATAGCTCACCTACATCATAGGTAACGCAAAATCAGCAAAGCCGAATGGGGTTCCAAAATCTGTGCTGATTCTATCAAGATGCCACTCACCATGGTTGACCAGACTTCCAAGATAAGTGAAGTGGTTATCTACTTCACTCCCTGTTATTAGTTTCAGAGTTAACGCAGACAAATCCTGAATTTTTGCAATTAGGGAGAGTGAAGCATAACCCAAACATGATTGTATTGATATTTAAAGTGGTCATAAGCAGATGTATTGATACTTTGTTTTTGCCAAGATTATAAATCCTGAAGATTATTTCTATCCACTAAAAACTGAAATTGAAAAACCTTAAAATCCAACCAATGTATACGCATTGGAAGATCCAACCTTAATACAAAGAGGGGAGTTTTTTGTCTACCACTAACAAAAATTAGTTAGTGAGTAGACATTTCTGCTTAAGACAATCAAACTATAAGCTCAATATCTATGATATACGTTTTATAGGAGTATTCAACTATACGGCTTCATTCTAGAACATTGGAAAGCAAAACGCTTAAAGTTGATTTAACAGTAACTACCGTGACGGATTGAACAAGTTTTAAATGTGGTTAGAAGGAGAAATTACGTAATTTGAAGTCTAGGTGACTCAAGGAATACAAGTAGATTATATCTTCGCAAAAATAATTAATTTTATTGGCTGATTAGTGGCTGAGTTTCTATTTTAACAAAAGTTATTTACAAAAGTACGTTGCTATAAAACAAAAATAATAGAAAATTTACCGGACAATGGATGGTGTAAATCCACATAAATTCTTTATGATAAGTGTAAAATAAATCCATATTTGATCAGTTGATAGGAAACTCCATTTTATGTGAGAGGCCAAATAAACAGCAAAATCATTTATCAAAGCTAAAAAATAAAAAGCAAATTAATATGGAACGTGAATAATTATTATCATTATGAACAATATTATGTTAACGGAAAAAGCTTGAACTTACCATCAATAGTTCCAACCATTTTGCTTTGGTCGAACATGAAAGACAAAAATTCAATATATTCGAATAAAGATAAATTCTCCACGTTTTCTGCATTGTTTTCAATTGATGAATTTGAAAAGTCAAATCTGTTGTGTATACTATGTGTACAGTATAACGAAGGTCCAGTATGGCAGTTATTAACGCTGCATAGAATGCTGGTTGATAAACGGCACAGTAATATTATCATTGATTTTGTCATGGATTGATCATTCTTTAATTGCCTAAAAGATGTTTGAATAATAATTAAATTTAGTACTGAAAAAGAAGGAAATACAGTCAATTATTGAATATTGGTCATTGTTATTAATGTTATTCATAGAAGGAGTGAATAATTCAAGACTAAATATGCAAATCCAGAAATAATCATAGTAATGATAATTACTTGATCAACTCACTAATCAAAGGTTTAATAGTTACACAAGCTTCGTAAACAAACTTAGTAGGAAGGATCGATACAGAGTATGAGTCGGCCTTTAGTTTTACTAATGTGTGTTTTCTCAATAGCTTATTTTCTAGAAACAAATTGGATGAAATTTTTAATGTCTACTATGTTTACTTATAGTCAAACGATGCTTGATGGTGCATTTTTACAGATCAAAATATATAAGATTAAAAGTGACAGAAACAGTATCGGTAAATGCTTACGTTTAAATGAAACTAGTGCTGCTGTACTACACGTAATCACGATACAATATTAACAAAATATTCCATTATAATAGCCAGCATTTCGGCGTTAATAGTTAAAGGTTAATAATAAATACAATTAACTAAAGTCTATTTGTCACTTACTCATATATTCATGTTATTTATTTGAAACTTTACAGATATATTCAAACACAAAGAAATGATCTATAGATATAAGAGAACCAGAGACTGAAACCAATTAAATGACTTACTTGAATAATTTGAGAAATAGACATTGCTTAACTACTAGTTCGAAATTTCCATCCGATGAGGATTTTGACATTTTATTAAGTAGATAATGTAGCCATATAGTGATGTGATCTTTATCCAGTGTTATATAACTCATAATGTAGTCAACCAAAATGTCTGACAGCTCCTCTGCAGACATCACATTCGCAGATGAAACCCAAAATATTAACGAACATAATAATGATATTGTAGGTCCACAAATATAAATCCAATGCCTTTCATCACATTTTACTTGGGACTTAGAAAAAAAAGTAGGAATTCTTAATAAAATACAAGGATGCTCAACTATTAGAAAGGTGACCATGTAAATAAAATAGGACACTTTTACAATCCTAAAAATAAGTACTTAGCTCTAACAGAAGCAGTTAACCTACTAGCGATATACATATTCAAAATAATAAAAACGGAAATGATAAATAAGCTTTATCGAAACACTTGGACCGGATAATAACAAGGTTAAGTGAGATCTAGTCTAGAGTAGGTATTAATAATATACATCAATGTAATCTGACCACTTTCAATTAATGTTTGTTTTAAAACATTTCAGTAATTCTTTTTCTCGTGTATTATTAAGGATGAATTCTCGAACATTAGGTTAAAAGATATCGATTAGTGTACCAAATATTGAATTTATGATTCAGAAGGGACACATCAATATATAAGTTTGTATAATTCATAAGTAAAAGTAGCATTCTTGAGATGCATCTTATTTCGCAATTATTTATTATTGATAGATTCCGGGATAAGTACAACAATACAGAATCTTACACAAAAGTAAATTAATTCATTATCTCACAATGTGAGAATTAATTTCAATAGTTTTGAAGATCTTAAGAAAGACGTACACACTACGTCAAAGAACAATTACTGACTTCATAAACTGTTCCTAATTCCACCTGCTTATAAAAGTTGCTTTAGTAAAGATTATGCTGAGTGGTTTACGAGTAACATCGGTAACGATAAATCAGTAGGTTGTACTGTCAACCAACGATACGAAGAAATACATAAGTGAATATCCATAACTTATAAATAAAGCGAAATTTTAATTGCTGTATTTTAGAGTTGTAGGACGGAGCAGAGTAAGCTTTTATACAACATCTCAAAAATAAAGTCAATTAAATGACGAAACTTCAAGAATAAATCCAATAAAATACAATTTATGCACGATGAATCACGGTAACAAAATACAACCCCATAGTTTCGTTAACATTTATTTCCGATACCTATTATTCCTAGCTCCGGTAAAGGAATAAAAAATGGATTTAAGAAAATGCGAATTACCTTCATATTCTTCAACCATGTGATTAACGACTGTAACACAGATATGTCATAAAGACTGAAATCTGGAGATTAAGAAACAGAAAATAAAACATTAAGCTACAAAGAGAACATTGTAGATGACAATCTCGGACTGGTTGGAAATTAGTTTAAAAAACGTATCAGAAAAATTTGTTAGTCTTTCCATCAATTACTACTGTTGTAACGGGTGTGACCGCAGGGTTTGATACGCAGCGTATTTATCGATCGCTTCTGTGACTGTGACACGGAAACACGTAGTGGACGACCTAGTGCCCTGATTGGCCTTGCTTCGCTGTCTGTCCCAGCCAATTGAGTCAAGAACACAAATCACTGCCTCTGAGTTATGAATCATTTTATTTCAAACATACTCTATTTATATACCAAGCAAACAAACCACATCGTACCATAAAATAGGAAACAACATTTGTACAATATTTAACAAGTGAAGTAAACATCGACCAATAAGAATGTACATTTAAGGTCCAAGGCCACCGTAGACTTAACACAATAATTATTGGTATATTTTTCCGACTATCCTAACAACTACCAGTTCACAACAAATTATATAGCTGCTGTTAACCTTCAAGGCCTCCAAGTTAAACTGATGATATGATCGAGCTACTGTGGTTTATTGGCACATGTAATCACAATTAATGGTTCGAGGGTTTGAATAATATGGTCAAAAACCCTTGGTAACGACCTAGGTTAATTCATGCTTCTCATTCTGAACTCTATATAAATCTTTTTGGCTTTACTATTTCATATTTCTTATCGAACTATATCTTCGATGTCTAATCTGTTTTACTACTTATAATAGTGTTACTACCTCTAATATCATAGGATTCGCTCCTGAAAACTTCGTCTTGTCGTACTGAAGGAGTATCTGTCAAACGACATAAACCACACTAGACTTCAGGACCATAAATGAATACGACTCCGCGTATCTCGTCTCCGCAGTCATTATTCTGCTCCTCTGGCCAATCTACTAATATAAACTCAACGATAACTCGATGCATATGATTATGACGAGAACAACAACTGACTTCTAATTTTATTGCAGTACAGCAACAAATATCACGAATCAATGCAGTTGTAATTTTACAGTCAGATTATTTTTCCCACGTAAACTCCATGTATGTGAATTCGAATACATTAATCGCTAATCAATGCTAGTTACTCTACTGCGGCTTATTAGGACATTTTCCCGTTTCAAGTCTTTTATCCTAATATGAACGACAGGGTTACAAAGAGCCAATGGATTTCTTCTAAGTCTATTGCACTGATGGATTCTCGTCAGTCAGTCAGCCCTGGTACGGCCGAGGGTGGGGAGAGTCCGCTCTCCCTCTCGAAATACTCTCACACGGCCACGCGTATACAGCCTCTGCCAGGGAAGTCCTACTCACTGCCTTCTCGTGGCGGGGGTGTTGTTTACGAAAATGAGAGGACGAAAAGCGGATGTCCGGCGCTTTAACCGGATTCCAAATCAATGGTGCACATGGGCTCCAGTATCCTGCGGGAACAAATGGAGTATGAACCAATCGTTGGTCACCGGCTACCATGGGATTGCATCTCCTTACGATGCTCCACTGCCTAGTGGGTTAGACCTTTAGGTCAAAGGCTCGGAGTGTGGCCCCCTAAGATAACCACCTGCTTCGGTTTGGGCACCCGGGCAGTATCACAGCCCACACACAAATTGATGAACTCTTCATGCCTATGGAAATTACCTTTCTCGCTTTGAAAAACAAACAATTGATTCAGATTATTATCATTACAATTATCGTCATTATTAATACTATTATTATTATTAATACTATTATTATTATTATTACTATTATTGTCATTATTGTTATTATTATTATTATTATTATTATTATTATTATTATTATTTTCCACATTATTCACCCTCTTTTATACTTATACAGCGGCTCGTCTTTGGTGGAAATTCGACTGTATCTAAACGTCCTCGAGTCACTGTCCGGTTGAAAATTGTATGTTACCACCGAATACGCGGACTGAAGCAGTTTTTCTGAAACCACGTGCACCATTCAAACTGGCTGCCTTCAACGTTCGCACATTTATGCAGGTCGGACAACAGATAGGGCTGGCTATGTCTTTGGAAAGTCTTAATATTGATGTTTGTTGTCTATCCGAGACCCGTATTCAAGACTCTGGCGAAGTACTACAAATTCGATCTCCATCTGTCGCTTCGAAAAGCTTGTTTCGCGTGCGCTTATCCGGGGACCCTGTGGCATCTTCGTCTGGTCTTGCTGGCGTTGGTGTCGCACTAAGCGCTAGAGCTGAGGCAGCACTAATCGATTGGATCCCCATTAACAGTCGTTTATGTGCTGTTAGATTAGAAAGTTCCATCAAAGTGAGAAGAAATCGGCGTGAGAAACGATGTCTTTTCGTCATCTCCGCCTATGCCCCGACAGATTGCAGCCCGGATGCAATCAAGGATGAGTTTTACCACCAGTTATCAGTTCTTCTCTAGAAAGTGCGTTCGACAGATATTGTAGTACTAGCCGGAGACTTGAATGCTCAGGTCGGGCGTCTAGGCACAGAAACGAATGGCTTAGGTGGCCGATGGGGACTCGTTGGTCGCAGGTCAGATAACGGGGACCGTCTACTGCAACTGTGCACAGACCACAACCTGTTTCTGGCTAGCACTAACTTTCGGCACAGTCATCGCCGATGTCCCACCTGGCGTCCTCCCTCTGCATCTCAAGCCTGGACTCAGATTGATCACATCGCGATCAGCTACCGCTGACGTGGTTGTGTACAAGACTGCCGCTCCTTTTGGAGTACCTATCTGGACTCTGACCATGCCTTGGTCTGCGCCAATCTTGCCTTACTTTTCAGTGGCCAACGAAGTGACCACCACCAAAAGATTGATGTTAGCAAGCTGGTTGCAACTCCTGTTGCAAGTAAGTATCGAACCGAGCTAGCCTCTAGGCTAGCTACCACTCCACCGAAAAGTATAGATGAGCATTGGTTGCAATTGCATGACGCCATGAAAATGGCGGGAACAGTCACTTGTGGGTTCGCGAAACGTCCCGCTTATAAGCACTGGGTTTCTTCAGGTTCCTTACAACTCATTGAAGCCCGTCGGCCTACTCCGGGTGACCGTGAGTTTGACCATAAACGAAGGATGTTACGTAAGGAAATTGGGCAAAGCTTGCATAAGTACCGAGTAGCCTGGTGGTCGAAGCGTGCTAATGAGCTGGAAGCAGCAGCTGCATCTGGTAACTACCGGAAGCTCTTCCAGCTCGTCCAAGCCACTGGCAGCAAGAAGTCTGGTGTGAGTGAAACAATCTGCGAGGATGATGGGATGCCAATCACTAACATCCATCGACGTCTTGGACGATGGGCGGAATTTTTCGAAGGGCAGTTCAACTGGCCTGCTGCTCCGGCAACATCGGTCAGACTGTCCTGCCCTCCATGGCCGGTGACGACTGATCCACCAAATGAGGAGGAAGTCCGCAAGGAACTCCAACTCTTGAAGCGTTACAAATCACCTGGTCCAGATGACTTACCTCCGGCTCTTTTTAATGATGGTGGTGACTTTTTGACTAAGGAATTGACGACGTTGTTTACAAAGGTTTGGGAACTAGAGAGTGTACCAACGTCATGGAATGAGTCGATAGTTGTCCCTATCTTTAAAAAGGGTTCACGTCGTTCCTGCAACAACTATCGGGGGATAAGTTTACTTCCGATTGCGTCCAAGATATTGGCTTCCGTCATTCTTCGTAGATTGTTCAAAACCCGAGAAAGATTGACTCGCGAGGAGCAGGCTGGGTTTCGTTCTGGTCGAGGATGTATTGATCATATCTTCACCTTCCGCCAAATGTTAGAACACCGTCATACTTATCAAAGGCCAACAATCGTAGTGTTTCTCGACATCAGGGCTGCCTTCGATTCGTTGGTTAGGACTGTTCTCTGGGATTGTCTATTGAAGAAGGGTGTGCCTGAGAAGTTTATTAACATCCTGAAAGCCCTATACACAAACACCTCAGGCAGAGTGAGGGCATACAACCACCTCTCTCCATTGTTCCATTCGAGCAGTGGGGTTAGGCAGAGTTGCCCAATCTCACCATTCCTCTTCAACTTTGCCATCGATGACATTCTGGAAACAGCTCTGATGAATGTAAGTAATGGTGGTGTGGATCTGTTGCCTGGAGAAAGACTTCTCGACCTTGAGTATGCGGACGATATTGTCTTACTGTGCGATAATGCCCAAGGCATGCAATCCGCACTTAATCAGTTGGCAATCAGTGTCCGTAGGTATGGTATGTGCTTTGCACCTTCCAAGTGCAAAGTACTTCTACAAGACTGGCAGGATTCTAATCCTGTACTCACCCTGGATGGTGAGCAGATAGACGTAGTCGAGAAGTTCGTGTATCTGGGTAGCTGCATAAGTGCTGGTGGGGGTGTGAGTGATGAGATCAATGCACGAATAGTGAAAGCCAGAGCGGCTTATGCCAATCTGGGCCATCTTTGGCGCCTTCGTGATGTTAGTCTGGCTGTAAAAGGTCGGATCTACAACGCGTCGGTGAGAGCAGTTTTGCTCTATGCTTGTGAAACCTGGCCTCTCCGAGTTGAGGACGTTAGACAACTCTCTGTGTTCGATCATCGCTGTCTCCGAAGGATTGCTGACATTCAGTGGCAACACCATGTCAGTAATGCAGAGGTTCGGCATCGTGTGTTCGGGCACAGAGATGATAATTCAATTGGTGTCACCATCTTGAAACACCGACTTCGGTGGCTTGGACATGTTCTCCGAATGTCGTCCCAGAGAATTCCACGTCGTGCATTATTTGCCGACTCTGGGACTGGTTGGAAGAAGCGGAGAGGTGGTCAGTGCATGACATGGTGTCGTGGCATGAAAGAAAGCTGCAAAGGACTGGCTTCTGTCGGTCCTTCATGACTCCCTGGTTGGGGTCCGAGAGATGGTGCTACACAGTGGCTAGAGACGTTATCAGATATGGCTCAGAATAGAAGCTAGTGGCGATCCTGCTGTAACCTTCTTTTACTTTCTTCATAAAAAGTGGTTGTGTCTCCTTTACCTGAAAGATTTCTTCTGATTGTACCTTTTCGTTCCGTCGTTACTACCACACTACCTTAGTCCAATCTCTTCGTCATTGTTCTCTTTTTCTTTTGCGCTCCTTAGTTTTTTTTCCTACTTCTCTTCGAATTCTCATTGTTTTGTGTGGCGCATATATATTGGCGCTCTCTTGTACCAATATTCATGTGTTCAAATAAATAATAAATAAATAAACAACGTAGGACCAGGCACGTATGTGCATCGGTCCAAGTTGCCATACATCATTAACACAACATGATGGACACTGTATTCATAAAAGTAGTTAATTCAGTGATGGTAATATATAAAAGAAAGATTGCATATAAAGATATAGTACAGAAAGAAAGAATCGGTTCGTAGAAAGAAAGATATGAAGCGACAGAGTGTATACACCTACGCCATTGTGATCGATTCTGAGCCATGTCACCAAGTCTCTAACCATTGGTTACGATAGTCACGCGGACCCCAACCAAGTAGTCTGCATCTACCAACATGGCTCAGACCAAATGTTAGTGACTTCAAGCACTGATGTAAGTTGGCGTAAGCCAAACGAGCTTTTCGAATCCGTGCTGAGATTTCGTCAGATATCACCAGACTTCCAAGATAAGTGAAGTTGTCAACGCGTTCGACTACTTCACTCCCTATCCTTAGTTCAGGTGTTGACACAGACCAGTCCTGAAACAACAACTTGCATTTAGAGGGAGAGAAGCGCATTCCAAACATTCTGGCATTGATGCTCAGTGCTACCAGAAGACTCTGCATTTTATCAGCATCTTCACCAAACAGGACTATGTCATCTGCATATTCTAAGTCGATAAGTGGACCTCCTGTTAGGAGATCAATGCCCGAGAATTCAGTCGACGAGAGTTATTTCCATCAGTAGATCTATGATGAAGTTAAACAAAAATGCAGAAAGCGGACAGCCTTGTCGAACACCACTTGAGGTTGCAAAAGTAGATGACAGTTCGCCATAAGCTCTGACTCGACTAGTAGTGTTCGAGTAAAGAGCCTTCATAAGGTTTATGTACTTCTGAGGTACGCCTTTCACCGACAGACATCGCCACAGAACCTCTCAGTCAACAGAGTTAAGTGCTGCTTTTAAGACAAGAAAGACCACCATTGTCGGACGCCGATAAGTATGCCTGTGTTCTAGAACCTGACGAATGGTGAATATGTGGTCGATGCAGCCACGACCAGGTCTCAAGACGGCTTGATACTCTCGTGTTTGCAGTTCACGAGTCTTAGTTAGGCATCCGATAATTATCGAGGCTCGTATGGAAGAGTTTAAATGGTTTGATTTGTTTATGCCGGTTAGCGTCTTTTAAGCAAAGTTGTTTTCTACGGTATGGTGTCTCTGACCCCATGTACAACCCTCCTCCTTAGCCCGGGCTTAGGGGCGGCAGTAGCCCTAGAAGAGTTACAGGAAGATTTATCTCAACGAGAGTAAATTAGTGAAATCAAGAGCAAAAGAGAGGAAGCAACAGTACTAATGTTAATGAAGGTTTGAGGATAAATAAAATTGGTCAAAAGTGATAAATGATTTCGAAAAATGAAAAGCATGGATTTATTGAAATACAGGGGACGAATGCAACAGAACTGAATAGGAAATGATTTGTGTAAACATGTTGTCCAACTAAATGAAATAAATTCTGTATAATAGTAAATTACTAAGAGAGTTATGAATGTAATAGTTGTACATTGATGTATCGCCATAAAGCTATTCTCAATCTAACTTACCTTGAATAGTTATAACAGCGTTGGCTAATAGACGCAGACCAAAGTAAGTAGTTACACACTTTTTAGAGTTGATAGGTTTCGTTGTTGAACTGAAGTGAATCGATTTGGTTAGATAGTCGAATACACCATGAAATGATTGAGCTGATAATTTTTGAATTGGATCTTTTAACCTAAAAATGTAAGTAGTTTGAGAAACCAATAACCTACATAAGCAATGTTTTATTCCGCAGAAGTACTTATACATATTAGCTACAGTAATTCCTAAGTTATGAAGAAGCTATTCATTGGGACGTAATTTTTTAGACGTCAAAAGCTAAGAGATGACATATCTAAAAGGTGTTTTAAAGTGTATTTTAAGTTAATTTATATTTTTCTAAAGAGATCAATACAAAAAATACAGCCAAAAGTATTTACATCTGATTAAATCTCTAATTGCCTATTATGCTGAAAGTAAATCTTAATTCCTGGATGACAGGATCAATCTGGTTCACATAAAATAAAATTATACAATAGACGAAATCATTGAAATATCACCGGCGTTTGACTTGAATGATATATGTTTACTTTTTTCTTGCACTCAACTGCCAAGAAAATGATGCATAACCTACGAAAACCATACTTCCGTTTAAAATCTCTTACAGTAAAATAGTTAACATGTTTCACTGTGTCGAAAATTAGCTGTTTTATACCTAGTTCCGGACATTTTCTGTGTCTTGATTTGACTTCTTTCGAAAATAAAACAGTAATGGTCATATTCTGCACAACAAACACTAATTTTAATGACTATGTAAAACAGTAAACTCTTGTTGAAATAGAGAAATTATACGAAAATAGATATACCACTTTGTCTTAGATAAATATATAATCTTTGTTTAAAAGAAATTGAGATGGAAACAATGGTAAATGGTGTATCAGTGAGTAGTAACCCACTTACCCCATAAGGCTTTGAAGATCTGATAAGCCACTCCAGATCCTTATGAAAACTATCCACTCTTTGATGGTTTCCTGTGTAATATCATCACAAACAGGATTTTTGACCACATGAGCTTGGAGGAACTCTTTAACATTAACGATATCGCAAGAAAAAAGAATTTTTGATATAATGGATTGATACTAAAAAGAGAAGGGAAAGAGTGTACGTGAATTATAAGCATAACGGCAAAAATGTCTTCATTAAACACCTGGTGAGTTATACAGATGAATAACATATTAGCAAACACATAAACGAAAACTTTAATCATGACTATTAAAGTATATCAGCATGGTGAACTAAGATAAAATGTATGGAGAAGTGACGCAATTATCACAATAATCTTCATTCTTGAAAAGTTATCATGGTTACTACATTATAGACAAGTTAAAATGAAAAAATTGTTTTTATCTACCATTTACTGGTCTATTGATATTAGCTTTTATTATCAATTTCAAAATATATTTTAGAGAACTTCTCACTTGATATGTCAATTATTAAATCGTTAACTGAAGATTGCTACTTTACATAAATTTCAACCAGGACAACACTAAACTGTATCCTTAAGAAAGGTGTGTCCTGTGGTATGTAAAAAACGACCCAATAAAATGGCTACGGTGTGACAATCGTAGTTAACGAATCATTCGAGTTCGAAGAAATATGAATTTCACAAAACTTCCTTTGTGCAAAGCAAGGTCATTTGGACGAATTATATAAATCTGATAACCTAGTAATGAGTGATAATAATAATCCATTTTTGTATCGTTTGTTTAAATCTTCCTATTGATGTTTAGGACTGCGATTGATCAGTCTATTATTGGCATATGTGCATCCTGTGTAGATTGCTTCTTTATTGCCTCAAGTCACAAGCATTATAAGCAAAGATGTATAGCGACAAACAGTGGAATCTAGGACGCGTGAACTAAAACTTCACCCCACTGCACAAACTAGTGGCCATCTGAACTCAGTAGCTAAGTAGATAACGCGATGACGTCTGAAGCGAACGGTGCTGGGTTCGAGTCCCGGAGTGAAAATCAACTCTGGGATGCAGGTACTATCTACCTTTACTTATAATAATAATTATTATTATAAACACTATACATGACAGTGAATGAGGCGTGTTATATCTCCCAACCAGTTTCGGATTATGAAGCATCATTTCGAACACGAGACACTGAATGAAGATTACAAAAGGGTCATTTGAATATATTCTACTGAGAAATTTTGCGTTTATCGTTATGAATAATTCACAGATATGAAAGCTTATTCTAGCTCTCTGAGTTGAGGATTGATAAAGAGAAAATATATCAAAAAATAATGGTACATTATTATTTACCTGTATACCAAACATTTCAATCGGTATAATAATCGAAAGCGGACTGAAAAGGTATTCATCATCTTCAAAGCATTTGGTTACTTCCTCATCAACATTTGAAATAAAAGGTATCATGCAGAGTAAATTCTTCCCATTAGACAAAAGATATATGGATAAGAAGTGTAAATTGAAATCTATTATTGCATATTTAAGATCCCGATGGTTGGAATTTCTGATCCAGTCACTTTTTAGGATTTGAAAACAAATCTAAAAAGGATGTATACATTAAAAAAAGGAAATATAAGATCAATGATCTTTTAGAACGTGCAAAAGGTTTGTTCAACTAATCAGCGATCCCAAACAAAGTACAGTAGTAACAGATATTATAATCATATATATTCAGCACAAAAAATTTCAAACACTAAACAATAACTGTAAATAACTTGTTACCCATTCACTTAAACCAAACTGTGAAGTAGTAGATGGAGCGGTCAAAAACAGTACTCCATGATCGAATGTCAGACGGAGACTTGACCATCCAGTTTTATTTACAAGATTGTTATCACACATCTGTTCTAACTGAATTAGATGTAATAGGTATTAGACCTATTTTCAAACCAGTAGTTTAAAGTCGAGTTAATAGACTGATAATTTGCTTCTCTCTCTCGACATTACTCAAGGAGGCACCAAATACATATGCGCCACACAAATCTCATTTGATTTATGAGAAAACTGCGATACTGCTCGGGTGCCCAAACCGAAGTAGGTGGTTTTCTTAGGGGACCACACCCGGAGCCTTTGGCCTAAAGGTCGGATCCACAAGGCAGTGGAACATTGTAAAGATATGCAGTCCCATGGTAGCTGGTGACCAACGACTGGTCCACAAGCCATTTGTTTCTTCAGGATACTGGAGCTCATGTGCATCATTGGTTTGGAATCAGGGTTTTCCAACTCCACTAGATGAACTCTCTGTGTCCACCGACTCGGTTAAGGCGCCGGACATTCGCTTTTCGTCCTCTCAATTCCGAAAACAACACTCCCGCCACGAGAAGGCAGTGAGTGGGACTTCCCTGGCAGAGGCTATATACGCGTGACCATGTGAGAGCATTTCGAGAGGGAGAGCGGACTCTCCCCACTCTCGGCCGTACCAGGGCATTTGGGGGCTGACACTACTAAAACTGACTACACTAACAGGATCAAGTCCCCAAATATATATATGGTCACCATTAATTAGCGAGTAATCACAACTAGTACTCCTTTTCAGTTTTTTTTACTGATAATGGAATTAAAAAGCATTGGACTTTGCAAATAATCAGATTAAGAAATCAATTAGTGAACCAGACAAATAGGAAAGTTTATGTGACACCGATATGACCATCTCTATTGTACCATCAAAAAAAGTTAACGTGGAAAACAATTGACAATTTTTAAGTCCTTTGTGTAAAACTATGGACTGAGAAAGATATTTTTTAGCACTATCCTAAATCCGAATGCACATGTGAGTCGAATTGCGAACGTGAAAACACCAATTCTTTTCAAACAATTGTCTATCTAAATTGCATATTTCTGAAGTAAACACGAGTTTAAACCTACTGTTATCATTAATATATTTAACGAACTTATAATCAATATTCCTAACTACTGAACTAAAACTCGTTAATTTACTAAAAGATACTTCTAAATAACTATACTTCCGAACAAAAGAACAACTAAGCATCAAAAGTAGTGGAAAAATTCGAAAGCCTTATATTACTTTACTGACAAATACTTATAAATATTACATGAAAGTAATATGGAGTAAAAACGAATTATGTCGGACTTGGTGGTTTCGATTGGGAAAAAATAAATACACGATTTCGCCCGAGGCTTAAATCTTCCTCCATCCAAATTAAAAATAAGTGAATTCAGACATTTTCACTAAGTTGATTTTCCCCACTAAATTTCAGTTTAAAATTGAGAAAGGAATAATTCATACCTTGTTTATTCAATAAACGAAGCTTACAAACACATTAGTATTATTTATATTAAAGTGTTATGGAGAACCTGACAAAACCAAATAGATAAAAACTTACTCTATTTAGTAACTTCTGATGATTAAAGCATTCATAACTAGGTTGGTTCAGTTTAACAATACGTTGTTCAATCATACTAAGCAAACGTAGACAAAGTACAGTTGTATTTTCTAAGTTTGTGCACTCATCTATTATCAGTAAATCTGGTGGTAAGCTCACAGTTCCTTCATGCCATGAACTCAGAAAAGTGAGTACTAGACCACTAGCAGTGTAAATATAATTAAATGTCGTAGAGCTGTAAATTGGTTCATGAACTAAGTTTATTAATGCGTCGGTGCCTTGATAAATTGCATCTAAGGCTTTCTGTAGGAAAAAGAAATAAAAAATATAGTTGGAAATATGTAGCTTCTTTAACAATTCAAATGGAATTAAAAATATAGGTCACTACATTTATTAGAATGCGAAAAATGCAAGTATTATGTAACAGACATTGAAAAACCAACCTGTTTACCGTGTACATCAGTTAGTTCCACAGCAATACATAGAATACGAAATATATGCTGGACAACAGAAGGTAAGTAAGCGTGAAAACTGGCAATTAATGAGCCCAGCGTATAACTATGAAATAAAGTTTATAAGTAATATTTTCAAATTACCTTAGAATAGACACTAGTCGGTATGCCTCCCTTAAAGCTGATAACTCAATCGGCAAACAATGAAATTTAAGCTCATTTGACTATAGGAACAATAATTATAACACGAAAAAAGATAACTTATTACTTTACTATCTTCAGGAGGAACAATGGTGCTTTGTTTAGTAGGCGCCCTCAGTATCCAATTGAAATCACCAGAACCTCTTTGATCAAAAAGTTCCATTGTGTTCAATAAATCTACGGAAAAATAACAATTCAAAAAAACTAACAGAAATAAACTGATTTATTGTGAATATATTGCCTTTAAGGTACATACATTTTTCATCTTTAATTGTGAAACTCTAGTAACTAATTCATAAATGACACTCGCTCATTCGATAAGTATATATGGTAATAATATGACATAAAAATAACTAGGTTTGACCTCAGGAGTTGTATACGATGGGTAAAAATTTAACATCAAATTACTACATGTATATTATAAAAATACTAGTATGACTCACATCCACAGACGGCAGGGATTTGTTTGTTTTTTTTAGCTTACTTTAAAACGAAACTAGACAAATGGTCAACAAGATCAAGAGCGAATCACACAATTTCGTTGAATGATGGTAGCACTATGTCGCCAGTTGATCGAATTTTAAAAATACACTCCTGAATTTTAGCTCACTGCAAATAAAGGTATTGGACAGTGTCTAAAATAATCTGTCCAATTTTGGTAAATAAAAACGCAGAACAGGGAATTGAACCTAATGATTAAACAGAGATCTAAGTTCACCGAACAAATTCATGGATGGGGTTAAATATATGGCTAGACATTAACACCAGTGGGTTTTTCAAATGTTGAATGGATACTCACCATTGGGAATCTGAAGGCGCCAACACTACATTATGCATTGTCCAATGTTTAGAGCCTTTTACTCTGTGACTCAACGGTAAAACGCTCATTACAGAATCAATCCTTACTGTTCAATCCCTAAGCTATATCATCTTGTGCACTACTAACAAGATCCAAGGAACAAGGAAACAACCATATACAATCGTCAGGTCTCAGTTATATTAAAACTGGCATCGGTGTGATAAGTATCGTAAATAAATCCAAATAGCGGTCAGAATTATATGGAAGTTACCGTTACTTAAAATTTTGTCTGTAGTGACTCACAATGATTTCAAAATACTGATGATTATTGTGGGAAAAAACTATCAAAAGTGATAAGGTAACTTTTTTGTACAGGTACCAACTCGTGACATGAACTCATGTGACACGTAAATTCTATCTGTTTCTATCTGTTTTCAAACTATGAAACTTGGTTTCATTCATCGGCTTTCATTAGTTTTAAAGCAATTCATTAAATTGTGATGCTCTCTTATCAATGTTCTGAATATTGTCAACGTACTAACATGTAGTACCCTACATTATCATATTCAATAAATGTTAAAATGTTATATTTAAAAATGTACGGATTAAACAACGACAGTAGTGAGAACATAGTTGTCAAAGGAAAAAACTACTATTTATGACGAATTAAATTTATCTGGATGAAAAGTAGAAATTTAAATAGTTAACCCTATTATGTAAACATGCGCGTACATATTGTGCACATATGCTAACTCTAAAGATATTTACCGTTAAAGACAGATACTAAATGTACAGCCTTCTTGAGATATATATTCAAATGATGCCTTTCAAGAAATAACATGAGTGACCTAACCAGATCTCCAACAACCTGCAGGTGGTATGTGAATTGTGGACGACAAGCGATCACGACTAAACGATAGATACACCATGTGGAGAAATCTGTTGAAAATACATAAGAAAAAGATAGTGCTGATTACAGATTCAGGTTATTAAACAACAGTATGCAAATTGCTTCTAGTCTTGATTTACTATGCTAGACCGTTAAGTCACATTGAGTGAAAAAGTTCGCTAGTCAAAAAATAGCAAATGTAAGTACTTGAGGGGAAAAATGAAAATTTTCACTTTCTTATAATATTTCAGTTACCATAAGGCACACACCGGATGAAATTTCGTCTCACCACACTTCTGCTCTTTCCGCTAACTTCTTCAGATTGGAGAAGACAGTGATGTGCTTTGTAGACATTATGACAGGGAATGTACCTGAGGTTAATGTGGTTTTGAGTACAACTTGATTGATATGAATATACATAAAATGCTGATTGTAGGAAGCAATTTCCTACAGGTGTAACTCTAAGCCAAAGTCAGAACAAGTAAGCTATTTGGCTTGATAACCTTTACCTGTTTCGAACAGTAGCTAGAGGATAGGAAAAACGAGTCAACAAGGCAAATATTGTTTTATAATGAACATAAAATTGTGATTGGTGAATAAACAAGACATAGTCATACAAGGTCAAAGAAAGTTAATGTGGTGGTGGGCGTTTCACTTTATCACCGATGTGTTCGTTTATCGATCACACTTTAAACTGATGATGGTGTGAAGTTCGAAATTCGAGTATTAGTTCAATTGTGAATTAACATAAAGGAGGAAAAGTATAAAATGCTTTATTGAACCAGTCGAATTATGAGACATAGATACCGATGAAACAAAATATACATAATTACTAGTAACCGTTCAGTGCAAATGAATGTTTATATAACCGTATAACAGTTAGCATCTTATGAGAACACTAATGCTTTGTGTTCTGTGACATGAAAAAGATATTCATTAAAGTGACTAATAGCCGAGACATATATGATAAGTAACGTGTCAACTATCAAACTGATATCAGACGGCGAATACATAGATCAAGTTTTTCTTTACATGACACAGAGTATTTGAGGTTAAAATTCCGCAAAGATATGACTGACCAGCAACTAAGGATTAACGATATTATTTAGGCTGTAGAAAAAGCATCTAAATTTACGGAAATTTTATTATATTAAGATGTTTTTATTTCGTTAACTGTGACATTTAGGTGACCTGGGTAAATACAAACATCAAGTCATATATGAATCGAATAGGTATCGTATGATATGTCTAGTTTGAGAGAATATCCGTTTCTCGATTTGGTGCTTAGCTAGAAGCACACGTCAAAAGACCGTTCAATATCTGAGTAAATTTTAAACGAATAAAATCAACAGAACTTACCATCCATAAGAAAAGATGTCAAGGCTTGTGAGAGTTGGTAATGACTATACTTAAATGTACTTTCAACTCGGGAGAGAAGGGGTAATAGACCTGTAACCTGACATTCTCCTAAGTGATCTACACTTCCAGCTATTTCATCTAAAATGCAGTAGATGAATTTTACAGTATCCTGAGGATCGAAGCTGGAAGACAAAAATGGAAATATAAAGCTAAACAGGTAGTAGAGAGATATACTAGAAAACAAGTATTTAAGATGTTTGAAATTTCTTATAAAATGATATTAGAGGAACCGTTGGATTTACGCTTCCATAATATACCGATCAACATAAAATATGGAAGCGCTTAATTAGAAAAAATTAAGATTATCAAGCAATATGAAAATAAATTATTAACTGATTTGTTAGAAAGTCCTCCAGATCCGAAACCCTTCAACCAAAGATTAGTGGCAATCATCAGACTGTATGACTTAATAGTAGAATAAAGCGAATTTACTGCTGGCTAAAATTAATTTTGTAACGTTATGACATAAACAGTTGAAACGACGTAATGAAACTTACACAAAAAAACTACAGGGTTCACAGTAATCCTCAAACTCTCTCTTATGGAAGGTGCTTCGCGTTAATAAAATACACCTATTAACTGAGAAACAGCATCTTACTGAGTGAAGATAATTTTCAGTCTAAACTCAAAATAACAAACAAAAGAAACATATGGTATGTACATCTGATATTAATAGATTCAGGTTACTAAAAGTGAACCGTGAACGTCAAAATAGAATGTTATTAAGTTTACACGAGCACTAGACGATTTATAAGAGTGTGGTAATGGCATAGTGGTTATGACGTCCGAGATTCAGTCACTAGGTAGCAGGTTCGAGACCCACTCCACTCACTTCAGTTTTAGTAACTGGGCAGTATCACTAGCCTGAACACATAAATTGGCACCCAAAGTCGAGTACACGAATCTATGCTTGGTAAATGAACAACAGCATCATAAATAGACAGGCGGTCACTTCCAATTTATTTTAGGTGATTTTAAGTAAATTTCCTTGGGGGGAAACCTCGGTACGAAAGAATACAGCAGAATAGTCAATAAGCGTAAAAGCAAACTTAATAGACAAATCAAAAAAACAACAATTAAGATGTCCATAGTAGGTTTTTTGATTAAATCCACTGAATACTAGTTTAAGTCTACCCGATCGATAAATTTATATTTTCCAATCGAATTTTTACTAATATTTATACTTTAGTTATTTTCTGTATTTAGTTCTGGACGCATTTGTAACCAGTACTAAAAAATAGAATTTTCAAGGTGAGAAAAATCATCTATATCATACGGAATTTAATTTTATTACGGAAATTGACTGAATATTGGTGACAGTCCCATGAGGATCAGATGAATGTACCGATTATGTAAGAGCATAAAGGAGAAATAAAACTCGTAAAGCTTAACAAAGTAAACAAGGGGAAGTCATTTGTAATACCCTGTTCTGTCGGTAGTGTTGAGGGCCAAGGTAAGGAGAGCAGCTACACAAATTTCTTATGGATCCATAAGTCTGGTTTGTTGAAATGGCTTCCGTGGTACCTAAAAGTCATGTGTAAACTAAGTGAAAAACTGGTCGAATATGATGAATTATTCGGAATGCCTTATTTACGCCCTGTATCGGCTAAATGAGAGAGTGAAAAGTCCTTGATCAACCTTAATGATCCTTTTCCCAACTAGGAAGGATGGTGTTTGGAAATCGGATGACAGACTTGCCAATTTGAGCGCCTAACATAACTAGCTCTATAAAAGAAGTTGAATGAGTAACTACATACAGGTGAGGTGAGTTCGGAAAATCTGCCTATAATGAAGATGAGGTGTCAACTGAATCACTACAGTGGGCCATTTTAAATTTCATCAGAAAATTCTCCGAGTGTATCACTGTCGCTGCATCGCCTTAAAGCAATTCTGACCGAAAGCGATAGCAAGAAGAATAAGCAAAACCATTTAGACAATATCTTTATTAGGGACACGAGTGCACCAAGCTTACAAGTCAAAGCACACGAAACACATTTTAGCGACTAACCTTTCACTGTTTTTCATTGGAATCTTTTGTTACAACCTGAAAAGGATAAGTTGTTTGTGAGTAAAAAAGCAAAAAGTTCGGGAAAAACGTAATAAACCACTAAAATAAGTCGCCTGTTATAAAGGGTTCGCTATTTGGTCAAATGCCTTGAGAACTAATAGATAATAGCCTGGCCAATCGCAAGTTTTGCAGTATTCGGCCTACAATTATTTACATATGTATTATTATGTTGAGTTTGATTAATGCATTTCATATGGAAAGTTATTGTGTAATAATGCGCTACGCATGATTTGGGGATTTTCCCCAAAATTTCCCCAAAGTTGGGAGCTTGGGATTACATAGTCTAAACACAAAGATAAGCGTTTATGTTTAGAAGGCGTTTGTTCGAACTGTATTTATGAAATATAAATATTTGCTTTCATCACATGTCAATCCTGAACCCGAGAAAATGTGGGGAATGAACCCATAATCAGTAAACACGTTTGAATTTCGTATTAGCGAGTCACAGAATTTTCACAACGTGCGTTAAAATTTCGGGAAAACTCCTAAACCAAGAGAACTTTGAGTTAATTCCGAGTAAAAATGTTTGGACCATGGAAGATTTCGAGATTCCTGTTGTGTTTCCCTAAAATTTATCCCAAGATTGATTTACTTTTTTAAAGTTGGGAGCTTATGATTGTACAAAGTGGTTTTCGGAGCTGTAATAAAACATAGCCAGTGGCCCAAACTCTTTTTGTCAATAATAAACAGGTTGTATAGACTCGACAACGTGAGCTTACTTCAAGCGAAGTTAACTACCAAAACCCTAACCACGCGCCTTGGCTAGACGCTAGAATAAATGATTTAGAGTAACGCATCCAATGCAAATTCTGACTTCTACAATTTCGCATCAGCAATTAAAATTTGATACTTATTTATGATTTCTCTAGTCACTTTATGTGCATTTGGCCTTCTGCTGTCTTAGTTTCAGTTTCAGTTTGTTGAGGACAGAAAGCTGGGTAGTCTTCATTAGTCCCTTGTTGAGATAATCAGTTTTATTCGTTAGTTATTAATTATGAGAAAGTCAATAGTCGGCTGACAAGCCACTTGTTCCGGGCTTGTGAACTTTTTGGAGTGTTCTCGTTAATTCTTTATTTTGAAAGAAAACGGTAAGGGGATGCTCGATGTAACTTTACCGTTAAGTATTTGAAAAACAATGATCAAGTTCCTTCTGGTCCTTCTATATGACAATAGATTCGGGTTTAATTTAGCCAGCCGATCATCATACGGTAATTCTGAGTATCAACTTAGTTGTAGTTCGTTGGACCTTTTCCGATAGCTCACTGTCTCTTTTTAGGCATATACTTGCTCTTAGCACAAAACTCAGTTTTAGAACGAACACTACACAAAATAAAAGTTATATAAAAGTGAAGTAACCAACAAGTACCTTACTTACAGCTGTAAAAACAAGTAATAGAAAAATAGCCGGTGACCAATCAATAAAGTATGACGCTTAATGGGGGTAGCGCCAGGTAAAACTCGGAAAAGTGTTGTCCGTGTTATACTTCGTCACCTAGCTTATTCTTTAGCGAATGCCGATGCCTACTACTGCAGAGACTGTCACCACGGTGGTGATCCTTGTCATCATTTGTTGCTGTGTAACGGATATTAGTAATGTCTTTATTCAGTAATGTACATATGTTTAGTATAATTTTAAATCCTCAGAATACGATATTTTAATAGATTTTTCACTCCTTCTACACTAAAAATATCAGCCGATTACTACATAAGGATATACTTTTAATAATTTAACCTATGACTTGAAATAAAGTGAAATGATTTTGGGAGAGTAAAAAATGCATAACCGTTGATCAATGGCATGTCCATAATCATGTCAATTGTTAAAACCTGTTCGCCGCTATGTGTGTGTATGCTAGACAATGTATTTTAAAACTTTTATACGTCATTGTATGAATTCTATTGTATCTGAGTTTCGTTATACTAGAAGATATATGAGGAGAGCGCATAGTTTTTATCCCATAAAAACTGCTTGTAATTGGTTTTCAGGATTTAAAATGTACGCCGCAACCTTATTCTTAATGACACCACTAATATTCACCAAATACCTTAATAACTACATTCAGTAATCTCCGCAGCATAGAAAGGTATTTTCTTTATAAGGAAGGAAAGAACAATGGGTAGCATTCAAAAATCTACATAACGTAAAATTAGAATTCAAGTGTTTCTAAAAAAACACCCTCCCTTTATGTAATACCTCAAACGAATAACTTTCTTCGATATTAATAAAGAAGTGAGATGACCAGAGTAAAAACTCACACCAAGATACATGGTCATTTTTTAACATTTTTTATCAAATGATTTCCAATGAAATAAACTTCATAGAATTCCGACAGGTTATATCAGTGCTGTTTATGTCTAAGCCTAAAAAACAACAGTTTTGCATTTAAAAAGATTATGTGTTAGGTCTTGAAAACTGAAAGCTATTTAATGTTTTAGGACAACAGCAGCATACAAGTCATGTCTCCTGAGTTTGTAAGCTAAATGCTTTTGATCAGAATGCTTTGTTTATGAAGGCCGAAACGAAAGAAACAATAGTTTCACCATTGCTTCGAGCAGTTATTATTTTTGGCCCAACTTTTGACTACTTGTCACCAGGTAGGTTCATTTATACTGAGATTATCTTTTTTCTCCACATTTTAGATATGAAATTAGTAGGTAAACATTCTTTGAAATGAGTATAGATGAAAGCTACGGAATATTAGTACATTCCTTGAAAGGAAGGCTTGGAGTCCCGTCATGTCCTTAACTCTAGGACGAGTTAAGAGTTTGGAGACATTTTCGAACATAAGTTCAGTGAAAATTGTAACACTTTTACGAACTTGTGGATATATGCTGCACGACATATTCTTAATGTACAAATAACATATTTAAGTGATAAAAATTTAGCTGAGTATCGTCACTAGTATGTTTCTCTTCCGTAAGCCCTTTAAATGTTTTTCAACAGGGGTTTTCGAGTAAACATCCTATTCAGATGATCTATCCTTCGAATCGCTGGATAACTTAGACCTTGAAATTCAGATTTAGTTTTCTTTTTTCCCCACTTAATCTTCAGCAATTAAGATGAAAGTTAGCCCAATCCTAAAAAATGGTTTCAATGGATACCTTGTGAGAGCATCAACGGTATTTTCCAATGAGTCATCTGTGGACAAACCCCAGTTTATCGTGTAAAACATGTCTTTCGGATCTTCGATATCTCCTGAGTAATCACTGTATTTACCTTTGAGATAGTAAAGAAGATTCGAAGCTCCGGTTGATGATTTTGGTGGTCTGGTTCTCTAAGCTGGATGGTTTGGTCGTGGGGCTTTCGTCATTCTTCCAAACGACATCATAAACACAAACTTCAAGTTGAAGTGAAATGTTACGGATTTGGGAACGGAAACGGCTGAGCTTTTCTTCTGAAGTCGGTTCTCTTCGTAACTGATAATAATCAGTTGTGCTCAATACATCAAACCTCGACGGTTAAGCCAGCAAAAGACGGAATGGCAGGTGAATTGACATATATGGTGGAACAAGTAACTCAAATGAAATTAGTACAAAAGTTAATACTACAGTAGCAGAATGTAAACTTTATCGAACTAAAAGACATGAAAACCAACCAGTGGCCAATTTCGCTTACTTACTTGCGCCCGTTGCCCCTCGTTGGTGGACATAGATTGTCAACCAGACGAGAAGGCAAAGGTTATGCGAAAAATCAAACTGATAGGACGTATACGAGCGTTTATCATTCCAGAATAGATCTTAGCCCTTCTAATAGAATCTAAGTATTCTTGCGACCGCCTTAACAATTGCATATTCGATTAAGTGGGAGAATCGACTTCATCTTGGTAACCTCGTAATGAAGAAAGCCTCAATCTCATGGACTACCATCACACTATCGCTGGAGAAGAATTGTTTAAAAAAGTAACGTCAAACTCAGAGAAACGATCAATCAAGACAATTAGTTCCCATGGGGTTCTGTCCGTTGTCACATTAGTGCTGGCTATGTAAATATAAGCGCCAAGAAAATCCGGATAATTTTATAATTGGTTGATCCAAGCTAGGACGTAGTACTGAGAAGCGCACCTATCGACTTTAATTAACTCGTTTATTGATGGGTACTATATTATTTGAATAAAGGTCTGTAGTGGCATAGGACCATAACCACACAATCTTCAAAGCTGAACATAAGACTACTCAGAAAATAGATATTCAATATTTAACACGGAGAAATACCTTACAATGGATAAGGCGCGGAGAATGAATTAAATGGACTAGTTGATCGAGTGGCATGGCTCGGCCATTCAGGCGTGGTCTCTGCCGAATATTACCTTATATCTGTAGTGGCATTGGACAATAGCCACACAATCCACAAAGCTGTGAACACGAGACTACTCGGAAAATAGACATTCAATATTTAACTCGGGGAAATACCTAACCATGGAGAAGGCGCGGAGAATGAATTGAATGGATTGGAGTTGATCGGATGGCATGGCTCGACCATGCAGGCGTGGTCCTTCTGAATGTTACCTTATATCTTCTATTCATATTAAATATATTGTTCCTTCTCTAGACTAACCTTGTTCTACATCATGTATTGGTAATTGATACGATACAGTGTGCTGGTGTAGTCGATGGTGTGACTTCCACGTAAGATTTTATAGATTAGTCAGTTATATCATGACAAAGCTACAATTTTAGGATTAGGTCTATTATTAGAGCAGTACTAATATCATAGTAGACCATAATTCAACATTGGTGAGCCCAACTAAAGAAACGCAGCCTAATATTGCTAATCCTTTGATCCGCCTTAACCTTCTCAATCGACTTTTATTTGTGTAAATCCATTATTCTAATAGTCCTCTGATTAATGCTCACAAGCATTATCGTAATGTCATATTGGTTAGTACTCATAACATACTAACTCAATCGATACCAATAACCGGTTATCTATATCAATTAGCTTTGATGGTTCATTAAC